GTCGGGCAAGCCGTTGCAGGGCTCCGGTGTGATTCCCTTTGCGACATGGAACGGCACTCAAGGTTGGGATCCCGTGACGGGACTCGGCCTTCCCAACTTTGAGGAGATGAAGAAGATTGCTCTTACTAAATAGAATCGCTCTGCCTTTTGTCGCCCCGGAATGATTGGCACTTGGGAGTTCATTTCAGAGGCTGGCAAGCCTAATCGTAAATACACTTGAATTACTGTTACCATCTTATTCTCCTGATAGAAACGTGTTTTGAAATGTCAAGCTCTGTGATAGAAGTATTGATGTTCAGTAGCTTCGATTGTACTTTGTCAAGCTGACGCCGAGTGAAAGGAATTGACCACGGAGAGAATTACCACATGCCAAAGACACTTGCAGACTTCTCGCGGTCTTGCTCGCGTGGCATCTCGTAGCGCTTGCGAGATCATCCCGACTAATCTTAGCCTTGTCCGAACCGTACCCAGGCAACTTTGCCTAGTTGTTCGGGGTGTTTTTGTCTGATAGCTACTTGACCATCGCAGACGAGACCGAGAATAGATAGCTAGGCAAAATGCGAGATCAGACGTTAACAACTGGAACATCTGATTCGTCAGAATCCGACGAAAAGGAAGCGTTTGCTCAAGATAGGGCTGGGAAGCTGGGGATGAGAGACAAGAGAATAGACAGAGTGAAACAAGACTTTCTTGCTCGACTTCCCCGAAAGCAACCTAGTTTCAAGGGTCCTGCGATGCGATCCCGGGACCGTGGGAAAGGCTTCGTACGCATCTAATGAGCCCGGCTATTCTCGTCGCGTGGCTTACCTGACAGATTCGATTTCCCGAATTTGACCATAGGTCGTCTTCGAATTTCGATAGCGTGCTCTCGGCGCGTGGCAAGGCCCAAGGTCCGAGCCCCGCGCCAGTCTCGCGGATGGCTGACAGCTGAAGTCTTGGCGCCAAAATAGAGGCTTTTCAGGGGTAAATTCGATCCTCCTGAGGAGCCTCTGTGAAAATCTTGAGGTGCAAAATTTCTTTCAGTGCGGCTGTCTTTTCAGCTGGCCTTTCCGGATAAGGAGATGTTGCCGTGTTTTCTCTCGCAGAATACAGCGAACGGCACTGTCTAAGACGTGAGCGCTTTGTTGATCCGATGCCCCCGCGACGTTACGACGGATGATTCAGCCAGCTGTCAAAGTCCCATCTCGAGAGTCGACATGCTGTCAAGATGCAAGATTGCTTTTCGCCGTTTTCATCGTGTCTCTTGCTGATTCGAGTGGTTTGGTAACAACCAAGAATAGAAACCTGACCGGCACATGCAGGACGAGGCGGGAAAGGAGCTGCTGCTAAAATGACCAGAGTCTTATCATTTGACAAAGTCGATGTGATATCGACAATCCAGACCGGATGGTCACAGAAAGCAGGACCAGGCTGCGACGAGCTGGACGAATCCAACTCATCTGGGTGACCGCATTATCAATGTGATGAACTCGTCCTTGCCTGCAGTAGCCAAAAAGAGAATTCTTCCTTACAGTCGCGCGCCCTAGTTGCCTGTCTGCCACAATGCTATTCGACATCTCAGTATAACCATGTTGCGTATGCCAAGGTGGGTTCTCTCGGAAAGAGCAATGATTCAGCAGTCCTGGGCGTATTAAAAAGAAAGGGACACTAGTGAATAAGGGCCTGCCACTTTTCGAAGTTTCTGCCGGCGTTCGCGATGTTGGTCACAGCGCTGCCAGATGCCGCGAGCCTGGTCTCGACCTTTCGACGCAGTCCGACGTGGGACCAGCTAAGGTCTGAAAGGACGAAGGCTGCTCTGGAGAGTTCAGGGCTACAACCCTTGCAATCTTTCACGATGTCCTGAACAACTGGACGGCAACCCAGCTCTGGCTGAAAACTATGAGTTCGTAAGGTTGGCGAGACGGGGCGTTGCAAGGATTCGATTGGACAGTTCTGGGGCGGAGATATCGTGAACCGGGAAAATTGTATGCGGGATGGCAATAGTCGAAGACGGGATCTGCGCAGGCTCAGGGGTTGGCTAGATAGGCAGTACAGAGCTCAGACACGCCGAAAGCTGAACTTGATGCATAAGGATGACTGGTATTAGGGCTCGCTACGCGAAAAGAATGCAATTGCCACGTTCATGGTCAATTTGATAGAGATGATGCGTTGAAAGCTGGAGCCAGAACGTGTTGAGTAGTCTTTGCTCGCGAGTTGAGACAGAGACTATTCGTTCAACCGCTGGGCTGAGATTTTGCCATCCATTGTTAAGTAGCCCACAGCGGACGCCGGCAACAAGACCGCGTCCTGGGCAGTGTCGATCCAAAAGAGAATCCAGAACCTTGACTGATTCGGGATAGCAGGCCGACACTTGCGTTTCTTGTTTCCTTTCAGCAGGCTCAGCGTCATGGAGGCTTTCTTGTCAAATTCGCTCGCGTCTTTGTTGGGATTCGCCGCACCCATTGTTCAACCAGTTCGGACTGCTCAGGCCTTTAGCGCAGAATCTGGCCGGGATGGCGAAACGAATGCATAGACCCAAGTCGAAAGACGAGGCGATGATACCCAAGTGGATTTGAAGGGGCTGAGGTCATGGGAAAGACCGAAAAAGCGCCACGGTCGGGATGAATGGAAATCGGCGCGACCAGACGTTGGGAACTTCAGACCAATATTCTCCATTGTGCAGCATTGCAGCACAAACGTAGCTGAGAATCGAAATTTGGACGTATCACAGTCGAGCCTGGTGCCTAGAAAAGCAAGATAGTCGTATGCAGCCACATGGTATCTGCAGCGTTGCAGTGGGTGTTGCGGGCGAGAGATTCTGGATGTTTGATTGTCGTGACCCGAGGTGAAAAGGACCAGTAACACAGCTTACCTACCTTAAGGTAGGTAGGTACACGCCGGCCGCTTCCCGAAGAGCCCGATAGGACGCTGCGGATATGCAAATATGCCGTTCAAAGTGCATATGCTATGGCTCGCGTCATCCAATGAGACTTCTTTACGGTAACGAGTACGCAGCTAAACAGCACAATGAGCGGCTATACGTGTAATGACATGCTCGTTTCTGCAAGGCACAGGCGGGAGAGAAGGTGCCGGTGGAAGGATGCCGCCGAAGCAACCAAGACACCACCTCAAGACACCCAAGGACACAACCTCATCTAACCAAATGCAGAAACGACATCCAGGATCTGCCGCCATCCGTGACTGCGCTGCCGCTGCCTTGCAATCTGCGTGTATCGCCATCATCACCTTGGGCGGCATGCCAGCTTGCCTACCAACGTGCCAACGTGCCAACGTGCCAACGTGCCTAGCTTTCCCGTCCCTCCTCCACCCTCTTTCACTCGGGTTCCGTCGTCTGCCTCTGCCGGCTCCCTTCAGCCACCACTGTACGACCAACACATCAATCTACGACGTACATGGAATGGGTCTGGTCCATGGAGTACCTACACACAAACACTGTTTGTACGCCATACCACCCCTGGAAATCGGCAGGACCAGGCAATGTCACAGGTTCAGCAAGCCACTCTCGCCCACCTAATCTCTAGCCATCTCATCTCAATCATCCCATATTGACAATTCCGCCCGAACCTCGCCACTACTTGGGATGACGGTGGTTTCCCGTCTTACGCCCAAATGCTCTCCAGTCATTCTGCAAGTTACCGTCATGCATGGCTCTCGGACGAGACAAATGACTGAGAGCACACCATTCCCGAAACATTGTTGCATGCCTTCGTGGAAAATACCGTATTGCTCCCAAAAAGCAAGCAACAACGGGAAGCCAACTCCATTGGGGTTAACGAGGCAAGAATCCACCTCCACACCGCCAGAGGTGTGCTTCAGGTCGGCCCCGTTACGTGGTTTTTCACCACCGCTCACAACCTTCACCGTGGCTAGTGCCAAGCGGAGAAGTGCGAATGCCCACCAATCTTAGATGTAGGCATCCAAACACCCTTCTACTTCCTCAAAAAGACCGATACCATATTCTAGAGCCAAAACACACAAACCTTATGTGAGAACTCGGTCTGAAGATCGCTGTTATTATACGAGCGTCCCCCCCACCCACGACGCAGAGACAACGGGAAACCTACTGCGTAGAGAGACACTCGGCCCGGTCAGCGTTATGTCTCTCCCAAAAGTGGGATGCCCTCGCAGTCTCAGGGTTGCTCGCCCAAGTGGTCAACGAATAAGGTTACCAAGACCTCGGAAGGCCCTGCCAGCTTGCCGTGACCAGGGTTCTGGGACGAAAGAGGCTAGAGGCCCAAAATCAGTTGTCCTGCAGCTTGCGGTATGCCAATTTTAGCGCCCACAACCAACTTGGCCGGCTCAAGCTAAGTAGACGAGCGGAGGTTTTCAATGGTCAAAGACCTCTCGGAGGCTTGCTTTGCGGCAAGGCTAAGCTTGGTCAGGAAAGGACTGGAAAAAGACCTTTTCCTCTCTCGGCTGTTGATATCAGCTAGCTGTCTTGCGCTTCTCTGCTTACACGACTTCCTTGAAAGCACAATCTAGAGCCTCAGGAGATGGCCGATTTAGACCACGCTAAGTCAGGACGGCTGTGGTCGTTCCTGAGCTAGACTGCCCCATCATCCGCCGTTCTTCTGTCTCTAACCTTTTGTTTTGCTAGCATGCTGTTGATCACCAACATCGCTGGGGTTTTCTCTGGTCGGCTTCGACTATTGTGTCTCCGGCGTGGGCGAGTGCCCTGATCAACACTGTCGTTGCCGGTGTCAGTTCATAGGCAGTCTCCCGGCTTGATGAAAAGAACTTTTTCGCGATCTTCCCGTGTCGTCCCGCTTGGCCAGTGGCCTGTAATCAACTCGCATATTCCAGATCGGCATCATCATCATGATGGCATTCGACCAAGGCAACGCCGATGAGCTAGCACACCTTTGCTTTCGCAGGGGTGTTTATGGCTGTTTCTCAGTCTAACGGCTTGGCTATGCAACGCTTGGGGAGGCATCGCTCGTGCGATAAGGCCTCGACTCTCCTTTGTCGCCTCCATCCACGCTACCCCCTCACGATGGGGGAAAGCTTCTCTCCTTCTTTGTACCTGACTACCGGGTTTCCACCCAACGCACGGGTGGCGCCAGCTTTTCGAGCACCAAAGTCAGGAATCATGTAGCTTGTCACCAGTCCCATCTCAGCTAGGAGTCCGTCTTGAACGGACGACTTAGGCTTGTGGAACCCAGGTTTGCGTGCGTGGTCGACCGGCGAGTGCTGGCGAGGCCAACCGTTGTTTGTCCCCCCTCCTCGATACGATCCTTGACTAACGCCTTTCATTGCCGCATTGGAGGCGTCCATGGCCGCCCATATCGCTTTTGGCGTACTCAGCTAGACCAGACAATATTGCTCTCAGCTCCCGGTGCCCCCGTGTATGCGGCTTGACTAGACCTTTGTCCCCAGGATGGATGCCCTCCGCGCTTGCAGAGTCTCTACTATGGTCCCGTCTCACATATCTTAAACCGATTTCCCGTCCCCCTGAACTACTGGTTACCCTGACCAACACTCATTCTGTTCGCTCACAATCAACCATCCTGCTCTCTCTTCACCTCAAGGCGGGAAGTGGTTTGACCAGTTTGTGGTTCGTTCGTTTCACAGTCTCCACAAGATGAAGGCTTTCAAGACCTACTTCACGCCCGACCAGGCGTCGGGCCAACCCGCGGCCGAAACGTCGAAGCCGACTACTTTGCAACCGATTGCACCGCAGCCGAAGCCGCAGGCGGCCGAGAGACCGGCACCTTACCGGACACACAGCGCCAGAACATCCGCTCGACAGTCGACGGTGAGCTTGGCGCTCACTGCCGGTATGAGGGACAAGCATGCTAGCAGTATCATCGATCTCAGGGCAGATGTCACGGTCCACAGCATCTACCAGGACCAGCTCAGGAAGATGTATGCTTCGGCGTGGAACTTGGGTGAGGGTGTTGTTCTCAAGAAGGGTCGGAACGATTATGTCTGCGCTCCTCCTCAGCTATCCACTGTACCCAATGGTTTCTTCGACATGGTTACCCAGCTGAATGTCAGCGTAAGTACTCACAGGCATCGTCATAGTAGTCATTTCTAACCACCTGCTTAGTGTGCCATGACCGTCAACACACCTGTCATCCAGTCCATCATTCACGGACTCCTGAACAGCGGTGAACCCTTGAACTCAATTCCTCTCGCTGGAGGCTTGCAGCTTCAAGTCCTCCAGAGGATGACCGATCTGCCCAGATGTCAGAAGCATCACTTTGCAGCCTTCATTCTCGACCCTCCCGTGCTCACCGTCTGGGATGATGATGCCAACAGACTGCATGCCCGCGCAGAGAGCCTGGAGCACATGATCATCTCCTACATCTGGCGTAACGAGGGAGGTGATGAGGAGGATGGCGACGAGAAGAACGAGAAGCAGGCCGGCGTCAACGTTGAGGAACTCTCGCCTGCCGCGCTTGAGGAAGCCCTCAAGGCTGAGGTCAGACCAGTCCGACTCACCAGTTCTATCATGGTTTCGGCGGCGCTTTGCTTGTCTGTGGCGTGCTTGGGTCTCGGTTACCGTAACCTGGCTTTGGAGTCCACCATCGACGGCAGCTACACGCGCTGGGCACTTCTCGCCGTTACCCCGCTTACGCTGTTCATCAGTCTTGTGAGTATTGTGAAGCTGAATCACATATTTGTCATGAACTAACGCACCGCAAGTTCTTCTTCTTGTCGATTTCCGGAAACATCTTCCAGATCCTCGGTCCCATCTCATCGGTTCACGCAAACTCCAAGAACTACTCCGGCAAGGCACCGCGCCGCCTTGGCCCTCACCGTGGCGAGCTTCCCCACGTCACCATCCAGATGCCCGTCTACAAGGAGGGCCTGAACGCTGTCATCAAGCCCACGGTTTTGTCTCTCAAGACTGCCATCTCCACCTACGAGATGCAGGGTGGCTCGGCCAGCATCTTTGTCAACGACGACGGTATGCAGCTCATCAGCGAGGACGAAGCCTCGGCCCGTAGGGAGTTCTATGAGGAGCACAACATGGGATGGGTTGCTCGCCCCGGCCACAACCCCAAGCCTACAGACCCCAGCGTTCAGCCTTTCATCCGCAGAGGCAGATTCAAGAAGGCCTCCAACATGAACTACGCCCTGATGACTAGCAACAAGGTTGAGGAGAAGCTCAAGCAGATCAACCGTGGAAGCAGATGGAGCCAGGATAGTGAGGATCAGGCCTACGAGCAAGCTCTTGCTGAGGTTCTCGAGGAGTCTGAGGGCCGAACTTGGGCTGAGGGCAACATCCGCATGGGCGACTACATCCTTCTAATCGACTCTGATACCCGTGTTCCCCGCGACTGCTTTTTGGATGCTGTTAGCGAGATGGAGGCTTCTCCCGAGGTTGCCATCATCCAGTACACCTCCGGTGTCATGCAGGTTTCTGACTCTTTCTTCGAGAAGGCGTAAGTTGATTCGAGCCATCATTCCCACACGCACACCAGCTAATCTCTTTTCACAGTGTCACATGGTTCACGCAGATGATTTACACTATGATTACCTTTGCCGTCGCCAACGGTGATATCTCGCCCTTCGTCGGTCACAACGCTATCCTCCGCTGGTCTGCTCTCCAAGATGCTGCTTCCTACATGGAGGATGGCTACGAGAAGTTCTGGTCCGAGTCTCACGTCTCCGAGGATTTCGATATGGCCTTGCGTCTGCAGACTTCCGGTTACTCTATCCGTTATGGTGCCTACACTGGTGATGGCTTCAAGGAGGGTGTCTCCCTCACTGTCTACGACGAGTTGGCCCGCTGGGAGAAGTACGCCTACGGATGTAACGAGCTGCTGTTCCACCCCTTCCGTTTCTGGCTTACTCGTGGCCCCTTCACGCCTCTCTTCAGACGGTTTGTCTGCTCCAACATCGCCTTTTACAGGAAGGTCACCATTCTGTCCTACATCGGCACCTACTACGCTATTGGAGCATCATGGATCCTTACCTTGATGAACTACTTCCTGACTGGATGGTTCTTTGGTTACTACGACAAGTACTACCTTGATTCGTTCGCCATCTTCTTCTCCATCATCGTCGTCTTCCCTCTCGCTGGAAACGTAGCCTTGGCTGTGCTCAGGTACAGACTGGGCCAGAAGTCTCTCCTTGGAGCTCGTAAGTTTTCCTCTCTATTTCTGTATCGACACCAGGCAGCTAATCTTTTCATATGTAGTCTGGGACAACTTCAAGTGGATGCCTGTATTCACCATTTTCCTGGGCGGTATTTCGCTCCACGTCTCCAAGGCTTTGCTCTGCCATTTCTTCGAGATTGACATCCAGTGGGGCGCCACTTCCAAGGAAGTCGAGAACTGCAACTTCATCGAGGAGATCCCCAAGATCATCAAGAGCTTCGCGGGCACGTTTATCTTCACAGCTCTGGGAATCGCTCTCATCGTCTGCGGATACTACGTCTTCCCCGTCCAGTGGCAGATTCGCTACTTTGCGACCATCTTCCCCGTGGCTATGTCCATCTCTTCGCACTTCTGCCTTCCGGTGCTCCTCAACCCCGCTTTGATGAAGTTCACCTTCTAAACCGGCACTCACTTTACGCGACCACTTAATGAATATACCATTCACTTTACTTTAGAAATGGGAACTATAGACGGAGTTTAATTTGGCAGAAAGGTCCTCCACGGAGGTATAGACTGTTGATAGCGTTCTGGATGGGTCTTTTACTCACTCTTTCCTTCCATCTGGTCTTGATGATGACGAGCATCGTTACGGACACAGCATGATTTAATGTTTTCAATCTCTATATATACCAGGCATATCTATAGATGTGCAATAAAAGATGATACCTAAAATCATATTCAGTACAGAGGTAGCGCCTTTAATCCCAATTGCCAACTAAGAAATCATCAACTTTGCATCCAACTGTTTGCTTGATAGTCTTTGCGAAAGTAGGACCGGGATCAACAAGCCAACTCTAGGGCAGTGTTGACCATCAGGTTTAATTGTTCAAATCTGCGCTGAATTAGACACACTCGCAGCTACAGATCTGTTTCCGGACTCGATATCAAGGGGCCGTATGGTACAAGGCAAGTAGATTATTAAGATCCCAGCCGACGCTACTGGCCGTGAGAACATCAAGGTCGTTATCAAGCCATCGCATATTAGACTCGTTGGCTCCCCCAGACCTCGTGCAAAGAAATATGATATGGCAGTCGATGAAATTTCGCAGTATATGCTAGACAGCAGGTCTTCGCAGGCCCAGATCTTGGAGAGCCCTAAGCTAACGACAGCTAACTGCGTATCCTTCCCCCAAAAGTAAAACGATCAAGATTGCCCATGACCAACAATCACAGTAAAACGCCGTGTAGAAAATGCCCCGCCGTTCTTCAAGCTCTTCTTTTTTTGGTGAACCCAAAACGCCGTTCCAAATGTGCCAAACATGAAGACCCAGAGGGTATCGAGAGCAGCAGCAGCAGCGCAACCACCACGGCCATTACCTGACAACGAGACCCCCCACACCCCTCCTCTTTCAATCTCTCATAACAAGACCGACCCATCTAACTGTTCGTCGCAAAGAGGGTATCTTCGTCACGAAGGTACTCGCCGGCGTCGGATTGCCTGAAGCAGACGACACCGGTGGGATCGAGACGGCGCGCCTCGGCCGTGGAGCGGGCGGTGACGCCGAAGCCGAGGGGCTTGTCGTCCATGGCGTAGACGATGACGCCCTGGTGCTCGGGGCAGTCGTCGGACCATCGGCCGACGTGGGCCTTTACGATGTTGCCACCGTACAGGAAGGGCATTTCTCCGTTGGGCTGAACGATTTTCTCCCTGTTAGCATGTCTGTCCCACTGTACATGCTTCCTTTTGCGGACTCGCATCGAGCGAATTGCGGGTTTGAAGTCTGACATACCTTGACCCAAATCTTGTATCTTGCGTGCTCGCTGAGGACGGGAAGAGCGGTTACGTGCAGACGGAACTTGCCAGTCTTTGTGAACTTTCCTATATTGCGGAAAAGGGTGGGTGGTTAGTCTATATGTACGTAGAGCTTGACTGGGAACATGTGGTTGGATTTGCGCGCGCAGCAACATACCGAGGCAGATACCGATGCTGAGAAGCTTATCGCGGGCGATGCTGGTCGCAAGATTGGCGACGGAGAGGCGCACATAGTAAACACGGTCCTTGATCATGCGGAAGACGTAACGATCGGGCTCGGGACCGTTGTCGAGCGGGGCGATGAGGTTCTTCAGCGAGCTGCCCATGTAGCTGGCCAGCTTGTTGAAGAGGGTCTCGGTCTCTTTTTCTGTGAGGGGACGCATCTTGGGCTTTCTGGTGGTGTTGTGATTTCGATTCGATTGTGCTCGGTTCGGTGTTGGGGTAGTCGAATTGGGACTCGGCGAGTGTTGGTGGACAGGATCTTTTACAGTAGAGGTGCCGTTGCCGAAAGGTGGGATGCAGGTGCATCGTGATGCGAAAAAGGTTGGAGTAGCGGCAGAAACCCAAAAAATTTCGGGCGGTCTGAGGGTGTTCCGGGGTTTCCATTGGCTCAATGGCCAAAACCTCCACTAAAAAGTTCTCGATGGTCCCTCTTCCCGCTGTTGGCGGTCCCAGGGTCCCCAATTCAATCCCACCGTATATTGAGAAATCTCTCTTTCAGCGAGGACGAGAGCATTCTGAAGACCAACGAAGCGTCGGATACCACCAACCGAACTCCTTTCGAACTATTCTATTCATTCCGATTGACATTGCAAACATATTTATTGTCCTACAATGTCTTCTAGAGCTTCAAAACGCCGCAGGCTCACGCCGCCGCCCGACGACGAAAACGACCACACTGGCAAGTCGTCCAAGAAGATCCAAAAGTCTTTCTTCAAGAGCGCTGCCGGCTGGAACCTCGAGCAGGACTACGAGAGCCGCCCGCGCAAGGGAAAGAAGGATAAGAAGGAGAGCACCCGCCTGCCCATCAAGACGGCCGACGGCCGCCTCGAGCAGTACCGGTCCCTGCAGGGCGACGATAACAACGACGATGCCGACTCGGTCGCGAGTGACGGCGAGTGGCTCGAGGGTCGTGAGGACGAGGAGGCCACCGCCGAGGCGGCCAACGAACGTCTGCGCCAGGATCGTAGGAAAGAAGAGGAGGAGTCGGATCTGCCCGAGCCCGTCCAGATCCACCAGGCCAAAGAGGAGCTCGCCAAAATCGCCATGGCGCTGAACGAGGATCCGGAGGAGAACGTCTCGGCCTTCAAGGCCATTGCAAAGATCGGCCAGTCGCGCATCCAGGCCATTCAAAAGCTTGCGCTGGCCACCCAGCTCGCCGTCTACAAGGACGTCATCCCGGGCTACCGCATCCGGCCCGTCGCCGAGGACGCCCCCGTCGAGAAGCTCTCCAAGGAGGTCCGGAAGCTGCGCGCCTTTGAGCAGGCCCTCGTCTCCGGGTATCAGGGCTACGTGAAGGAGCTCGCAAAGTGGGCAAAGGCCGATATACCGACCACGAGGAAAACGGGGCAGAGCATCTCGAGCGTCGCCATCTCGTGCGCCTGCACGCTCGTCAACGCCGTCCCGCACTTCAACTTCCGCAACGACCTCCTCAAGATCCTCGTCAGCAAGCTCTCCAAACGCAAGATCGATGCCGACTTCCACAAGTGCCGCCGCGCGCTCGAGACGCTCTTTGTCGACGACGAGGAGGGCCGCCCCTCCATGGAGGCCGTCTCCTTGCTCGCCAAGATGATGAAGGCCCGCAACTTTGGCGTCGACGAGAGCGTGCTCAACCTCTTCCTCCACCTGCGCCTGCTCGATGAGTTTGCCGGCAAGGCCTCGCAAGACCGCGTCGACCGGGAGCGCGACCCGGGCGCCCCCCCGCCGCAATCGCGCAAGAACTTCAAAAAGGAGTTCCGCACCAAGAAGGAGCGCAAGATGCTCAAAGAGCAGAGGGCCATCCAAAAGGACATGGAGCAGGCCGACGCCCTCGTCAGCCACGAGGAGCGCGAGCGCATGCAGTCCGAGACGCTGAAGCTCGTCTTTGCGTCCTACTTCCGCATCCTCAAGATGCGCGTGCCGTGGCTCATGGGCGCCGTGCTCGAAGGCCTGGCCAAGTACGCCCACCTCATCAACCAGGACTTCTTTGGCGATCTCCTGGAGGCCCTCAAAGATCTCATCCGCCACGCCCAAGAGGACGCAGAGGGTAACAACCATGCGGACGACGACGACGAGGAGAACCAAGACGAACAAGACGACGACGATGACGACGACCTCGGCGGCGCATCCCGCAACACGAGCCGCGAAGCCCTCCTCTGCACAGTCACAGCCTTTGCCCTCCTCGCAGGCCAAGACGCGCACAACTCCCGCTCCGCGCTGCACCTCGACCTCTCCCACTTCGTAACCCACCTCTTCACCTCCCTCCCCTCCCTCTCCCTCAACCCGGACCTCGAGCTCACCTCCAAATCCCTCCACATCCGCCCTGCCCAGGCCGCTGCCACGCGCGACAACCGCGTCAACCTGCAAACCACCACCGTCCTCCTCCTGCGCTGCCTCACGGCCGTCCTCTTGCCAGCCTACCAGATCCGCTCCGTCCCGCCTCTGCGCCTCGCGGCCTTCAGCAAACAAATCATGTCCGCGGCGCTGCACATGCCCGATAAGTCGGCGCAGGCCGCGCTTGCGCTCATGCAAGACGTCGGACACACCCACGGCAAGAAGATTGCCGCGCTGTGGTGCACCGAAGAGCGCAAGGGCGACGGCAACTACAACGCCCTCAGCGACAGCGTCGAGGGAAGCAATCCCTTTGCGACGACGGTGTGGGAGGGCGAGCTTCTGCGGAGGCACTTTTCGCCCAAAGTCAGGGAAGGTGTCAAGTTATTAGAAAAGGAGATTAATAGCGCATGAGGACGAGGATGAGGATGACGTGTAGTTGGTTTGGGGCATCAGTCGAACGAAATCTAAAAAGGAGTTGGGAAACATGGGAAAAAGTGATAAAAAGGGGTTACCTTTTTATGGGTGTTGCGGGCTTTGGCATTTAGAGACCACGTACATATTACATACACCGCCCATGAACACCGGAGCCGTCTTCAGGTTCGATCTTGATACCTTTTAGTAGTGCCTTTATGTCTCATATTGAATCAAGCCCTGGCATTCATGGAATCTTGAGAAACTGTGGATTGACTATCTACCTAGACTGCCTGTGAGGTATCAATCCTGAGCAAAGTGACCTGGGCAACGGACTACCTAATACCTCCAGACGCATAGGGCGGCTTCTGTACGAGATATCTCGTTCCGCTTCCCCAAGTTGAGAAACCCCCAAAGCCAATATCAAAGTCAGCCTTCCATCATCATCTTCATCAAAAACTCTCTCTGCCTCGTTGAATCCCCACTATCTTCCGACGATGATGCTTAGTGGCGTCCTCCATGCCCCCTTCTCTGTAGCAGCTCAAGGTCTTGCCGCTACAAGGCATCATTGAAGAGTGCTGAGAGAGATCAGAGACGTTGTCATAACTTCAACAATCTGAGGATACGGCTGCGGAAGTTTGCCTATCCATATCGTGTCCATTTCCTGTCAAACTAGTGCCCCTCAAAGGATTTGCAATTGTTGCCCGATCATAGAGGAGCAACAATTCAAACATTCCAGAGTTGGCGACGGTGAGAGATGCATCTCGATGACGATCTAAGCCCACATCGATTCGTTGATGCCTCTACGGCGGCTGACGGCCGGCTGTGGGACTGGAGCACCAGCCAAAGGAGGACCAGACGAGTTGTTGAAGGCGACAGCCGGACTGTTCGAAGCGCCGGGCGGGTTGTTCTGGTGGCCAGATGAATTGATCTTCCGAACGGGCACACTGCGCGGGGGGCCGGATACGCCGTCCGAGTCCTTCCATTGGAAGACCTGGAGATGATCGTCGGGGTCATCTACAATGGCAGGGCTAGCGCCGAAATGGAGAGGGAATTGGGCAGCAGCCTGAAGCAGCTTGGGACAGTCTGGGTTCGAGTGCTCGTGTAGGATCACGTTGACCGCGAACTTGTTCTTCACTGCATCCGACGCGCCTTTCATGTGAGTGAGGTCATGATCGCCGTCAGAATCCGTGTTGTAGCATGAAGCCGCCAAGCCAATAATTGGGTGGCTTCTCTTAGGGCAGTTGCAGTAGGGTTCCTTCATCTGAGGCTCCGCTGCTTTCTTTTCGTCGGTTGTCTCCTGCTGCTCAATGAGGGACTGAGTGTTGTTGACCATTCCGAAGTGAGCATCAGTGGCGGGCACAGCGCCAGACTTGTTTCCGACTTCTTGAGCCATGCGAGCGTGGAACTCATGGTGGCCAGGAAGTTCCCGGCCACTTTCGAGCTGCGCCAGAGCCCATTCGACGGAACCGAACTTGAGCTCTGGCTTACTAGCAGAGGTCTCAGTCTTCGTGGAGGAGGAGGCTTCAGCATATTGCTTGTTGTGAACGGCTTCAGGAAGGCGAGGAACCTGTCCATTGTGATTAGACTGCGGCTGTGTCACCAAGTCAATGTCTTCGGCAAAAAGAGCGAAAGCCTGGGCATTCAAGTTGGAACTGGCAGTAGTTCCCACTCCGCTCATATTGTTCTGCTCCCTGATGACTTTCGCCTCGTGAGCGATCCGCAAGCTCTTCCCTAAGCCACTCGGCTTCGAACGGACAGTCGTCTCAGGAAGGACGACAGCCTCACTTTTCAGAGAAGGCGGAGGGTCGTTAGATTGAGAGACGGCTTGAGCGTTTCCGGTAAGGGCGACTTTCGACGTCTCGGGGTCATCAATTTTGGTGACAAGTATGCTTGACGAGGCACGGCTGGTCGGACTCTCCTTGGGAGGAGCGGCAACCGGACTGAGCTTGGGCGTAAGCCAGCTGGCGAGTTGCTGATTGATTTCCTTCGGAACGTCAGAGCGAGCAGGAACCGTGTTCGCGGGAGTCATCGGCATCTTCGGCGTCACAGGCGTCGCGGGACTAGTCTGAGGAGCATTTGCCAACCATCCCGCGAGAGTGGGATCGACACGAGTGACGGCGGAAGGCTGGGCTCTGGCTCGATTGACTTCCGGCTGCGTGAAGACAGCACGCGAAGATGAAGGCATAGGACGGTCTGCGAGGATTAGCAAATCGAACAATGGTCGCTCAAGGAGTCAACTCACTCATCTGAGCCGGAGGAGCATCGTATCGAGTAGGGGTTGCTCTTCCAATGCCGCCAGGCCTGCTACCACTGCCGCCATCATTCATGCGTCCTCGTCCGCTGTTCCTGCCCCTGCTGCTGCCTCCCTTGGCTTTGCTGAACTCCGCGGCGAGAGCTCTTGCTGCTGCCATCTGTTCAGCCTGCTTCTTGGGGTCCATGTTGGCAAACATTTTGGCAGCACGTCCTCTGTAGCTGATGTGTCGGAACTTTCTCCAATAGATCTCTAGTGACTTGATTAGTGTATAATTCCTCCTTGCACCTGGCTATAGACCAGGATATTTGCCGATCAATGGTCAATGGTGTAGAAGCATTCGGCAAGCGCAATGCAGAAGATGTAGAAAGTGTCGAAGTCGAAGATTTTTCGGCACAGAGTGTCATAACTGTGAAAGACGTAAAACCAAGAAAACGCATACGCGACATCAAGCTCGTTATCCTAAGGAAGGGGCCTTCGTAGGAAATTGCCCCCAACCGAGTAGATGAAAGTTGAAGGGGAGAAATGAAGAGGATGTTTCGTACTGACCTTATCTAGGTAGACCCTTTTTCTCTGCCTTTTTTTTTCGTTGCTGGAAAGAGGAAACTCGTCTGTCGGTGTCCTGCTAACTTCGGCGTCAATGTAAATGTTGGCTGAAGACGGCGCCCAAGGTGGGAAACCAGATATGTTTGGATAGAAATTTGGGTAGGTAAAACTGACGAGCGCTGAGAAGAGTAGTCGAGTGCAAGGACACGAGACTGTGTATGAGATGTAAGGTAGAGAAGGAACCTTACCCAGTGGTCTAGCGAGGAAGGATAGCTTGCCTTGCCGACCTGGGAAAAAAAGGGAAGGTAAGGTTGCTGGAGTAGGTGATCTTTGAGGAAGGTAGGAGCTTGGGAGAAAACCGAGGGGTCAAAGGCAGGTGTAGGTGGGTTGCTCTGGAAGGAAAAGATCAGAGTACCTGAACAAATAGGATTCATTCGGCTTAGGGCATAGAGGAAAATGAGATGGCAACAGATATCGGGACGGAATCGTTCTTTGGGACGGTTGCTGGGACAAGTATACGGGACGGAAGAAATGTTTCCGTTGGGACGGTGTGAGGACTATCACCGGATGGCGTTGAAGAATAGAAGGATGCTGCTCTACTTGTCTCATAGGGCCATCGATCCATGTGGGAAGGCTTGGCGGGCTGCTGGGCTGGGCGAGAAGAGCTAGAACATAACTGCAGCAAAAGTAACAAAAAAGAGGGACCAGAGAGCTCTTTGTTGGATATCTGCCTTACCTGGCACTCGTCAGCTGCGGGTCATATTGAAGAAGGAGAAGAAGAAGAACTATCTGCTTCAGATATCAAGCAGGAAGCCGATATAATGCCGAAGCACCTCTATAGGACAATCTTCCTTACATTCGTAGGCGTTGCCCTTCCTCTTCATGAGTGGATTGGGGAAAGCACATCACTGACAATCAGTCCCCCTATTTACCTCGAATATTTGGCATATGCATACCATCAAGTAAGAGCCATTTCAGCGAGGGGAAAATGGCCAAATCTCGGTATCCAAATTGGCAGGTCGACTTGCATTACTGGGCAAGCTATGGGTATCTCATCGCCATGTTTATTTCTCGATAAAAACGCTCTCAAATCGAGCAGAAAGTTGGCGTTTCCTATTATCTCACGCCTTGCCGCTCTTCTTGGCCGGTATCATCTTTTCTTCCACCTTCAACTGCGTGGAACGGTAGACAGCATCCTTTGCCTCGTCCAACCAAGCGACGTAGATAGGCGAGACGTGCTTCTGAACGTAGTCTACCAGCGCCTTCGACATGGGGGCGCCGACCCGGATCCCGATCGACGAGACCCTCGGGATACCGACGGCAGCGCTGAGTTTCTCGCCGCATGGCTTGGAGTATCCGACCAGTCTTGTTGCAGACGCTGGTGCAGCGGTATTGGAGGCCACGGCTACCATTTGGGGCAACTGACAGTTGAAGGCCGATGACTGGCCGGAGCGGGCAACGAAAATAAGGGCATACGGAGCAGGGGGGACTGCCGCCGTGCTGGCTCCATCGATGTCTGGCCCTGAGGCTTGCTGCGTCGATGCGAGTCGTTCGAGGTTGCGGGTGATGCTTGCCAGACCAACGTCGACGAAAGAGGCGATTTCTGGCAGTGATGGACGTTCGCTCTTCTCGGGCTCCTTGCCAGCAGCTCCTTCTTCCTTTCTCTTCCTTTTGGCGGCCCGTTTGCCTTCCGAAGGCTTAACGTGCCTTTGACGGTGTTGACCCAGCGGTGTCAACAGACTGTGTGTCTGGTCAGCTCAATTTCAATGCAGACACGTGCCAGGAGCCCGAGTATGAATCTCAAAGACGTACCTGCAAAGTAACTCTAGAATGGCGTCTTGATCTTCAAAGGTGACCTCGGGCCTGCAGTGTGTAAGCAATTCTAGTACGTGTATAGACCCGTCAAAAGCAGTCCTACCATTGTACTGCTGAAAATGGTGTGTCAACTGAATGCACCAACTTTTTTCGTAGTTGGTTGGCCATTTTGATGTCTTACTCAACGTGACTAGACGTCACGGTTGGTCGTTTGAAATGCAAGTCAAGAACCCGAGCCAAGAGCGACTTTCCGGGTGTAGCAGCCGAATAGAGCAGATGGGTAGAGCGTAATGGTAGCCCTGTGAATTTCAGTTGCAACTGAGAGACGTTGGATTTGACGGTCCACTAGAAGTAGTTTAGAGGCTGGCAAACCAAAACTTGAGAGTTGGAGTTGAGTGGCTGATGCTCGAAAACTTCAAATCATGGAAGGGTATTGGCCTTGAGGCCTGGTCGATGCTTGTAGGAAACAGCAAATAATCGAGTTGAACTTGGCTTTCCCAATGGTAATAAATGTAGGAAGAGGTGCCAGGCATTCAGTTGTTGGCCAAAATACACGGCTGGAAGGATCAATACCAACACTTGCTAGTCGTTGCCCAAAGAAAAGAAATAAAGACAAAAATAAAACTCGTCAGTCGGAAACAACAAGGGGACTAAGGTAATTGGCTTTAGCGGCCGATAGACAGATAAGCGAGGTGGCACTAGCGCCACATGATGGATCATCAGAGGGGAAGGAAACAGATGAACGGGCATTAAAAGCTTCAAACTTTGGAAGTTGGAGGGTGATGATGAGTCGGACCAGGAGCTTGTAATACGACTGAAAAATAGGTAGTGACAGAGGCCGATCCTTGACTCGGGCCTCTGGACGCCCTCTTGAGCTCTCTGAGATACCTAATCCCAATGATGTCGATGCGTGCAGTCGGCTGTATGTCGACGTTGGGATCGTTGAGGCGAGTTTGCATGGACATGGGCCGCTAAGGATACCGGCCCCGCATGAGCTCCAAGCCCCTCGGGGAGCACGGACAGACAGCTGCGGATGGAAGAGCCGGGTCGCGCAAGGGTCGCCGAGAGGCCGAATGCGACGTTGAGTTGTGACCAAAGTGACGGAAGCTTTTCATGTGTCATCTGGTCGGTTCCGATACGAGACTGGACTCAAAGAGAGAGTGCTCGTACGAGACGACTCAAATGTCACAATGCTCCGGGCTGGGTCGAAGGGTGCTCTACCTAGGCATTTTGCCCTGGGCGCACCCAAGGTCGCCGAAGTGATAGCAAGCTGGGACTCCGGCTGATCCCGTACAGACGTTCGTACCTTATGGATGGGACTAGATCGGAAGATGGAGGAGCCCGGCTTTGGGTTGCTGCCTGCTATGAGCAGCCGGTGAACCACTCTCGCCCAAAGAAATACGGAGTACTCTCTGTCGAGATTCATGAACTCCATTCTATCTCGTGCTCTCCAATGGACCTCGGCACTGAAGACGATGCTGTTCGAGCTTTCATAGGCGCATCTGAACATTTCAAGTAGTATGGATTGACTAACTCTGGTCAGTGGACGCTGAAAAGTGATTATGATATTTTACGGCATACCCTCGGCCAAAATTCCTTTGGCGCATTTCCAGGGCTCAGGCCGAATTTAGAGATACGAGCACATTTCACTTCAAGTCGCATTTGGGCGTTCGAATATCCTTGACAAGGTGCACTAGTGTCAACGTCTTTGGGCTGGTCACTGGTTGCTGTACCTGAATGCATTGATCAATGACAATACCTCATATTTATTTGTCTCACGTTGCTGGAGTATGGCCATTCCTTTCTTTACCTGGATGCATTTCGTGAATGAAAGACCGAACTTTCTCCCTAGGAAGAGACGAGAGCCCAAGTTTTAGTAAATACAATTGACCGCTACTTGTTTCTATGTAGCATCCCATCCTTGTCCTGTCTATTTGTGTGACTTGAGTTAGGCAGGTACAGACTACAATTTGATCCTCCCTCGCCCGTGAGCCACAACCTGAGGACCGATTGTAGTTTCATTACCTAAGCAGACTTGGCGCTTGTCTGGTGCCAATCCATCAGATTGTGATTGTTGTTTCAAGCAAAAGATGGAATGTCTTGGAAATGTAGCTATCACGATTCATCGCAAAGCAAAAACAAGGTGATGGTCAGCAAAGAGAAAGGCTGCTTGATGTCGCCGTCACCTTCCATGTGTTGCGAGAGCTTGATGTGCAACTTACAAGGTACCTACCTACCTACGTCTAGAAGGTCCCGCCATCTCTGGCTGTCTCCACTTTCGTCTCTGGTGCCTCAGGTACCTTGCTACCCTGATTATTCGTTCTGGTAGGTAGGTACCTATTCTCCTCGAGCTTGAGCCACACGGGCACCAAAGACCTCGCATTGCACCAGCACCCCACCCCGCACCTATCATCTCGAGGATCTATCTTATCGTCCAAAAGCTTCTGCCAGCACCTTATCCTTAACCACTCTGACCGGCGAGTGCTGTCCCAGGTAGGTAAGCCAGAGAGACCCAGAGAGGTATGCTTTGGGTCTGTCACGCAAGGAAAAATCTGTAAAGGCAGACATCCAATGTTCATCTAACACCTCTCTTCAGACTCAGTCTAGCTCTTTTCACTCCCGAACATCTTTCACCTGCGCATCGCCCTTATACCTTAGTACTTTTCGCCAAGTGCCTTGAGGCAAGGTACATAGTCAAGCTATCGTAGCTACACACCTTACTAGGTACCTTATCTCATAACGCGAGCCAAGATTTACCGGAAGCTCAAAGCTTCCATTTCTCACAGACGGGAGCTACAACTACCAACACTCCCACCACCCAAAGGTAAGGTACATGCCCTCCTCCAAATCATGCACCAAGGCAGGTACCTAGGTCTCTGCCATTCTTCCTCATTACCTCATCTCTGTTCCCCCCAATCCGCTCGACTCCAAAACAGACGAGTCCCCCTCCCCCTCCAAAGCTCTTAGCTCTAGTGGATTCACGTCCTCCACGCCTGCACCGCGTCTCTTTTAAGCACCCGAAAGGACCGACGTGCAACCCCTGCTCCCTCCCCAAAAAAGCCCACCTTCGACACGCCGCCGTATGCTTTCCATTTGACGTTCCTACTGCGTTAGACCTCAGCCTGCACATTGCTATCGTCACTGTCACCCTCACCTTGACATCTTAGCGCCGACCTCCCCGACTTTTTCACCTTACCTTCTCTCGCCTTTACTTTGAGGGATCAAGCTGCTGCAGCCTGATCACCATCTGTTATCCACTTCTCCAAGAGGAAAAAAAAAAAACCCCCATCCTCACTGCGCCAACATACCTCCATCGCGGTTCCCATCATCACTACCAGCCGACAAAAGAACCCACATGCTAATTTTGACCAGCTGCTACCGAGCCGTCTCTCGCGCCCGAGTGACGTCTCTGGAGCTCCAGGACCCGCGCTGCAATACTTCATTGCATCAACCAGATGGACCTACCAACAGTTTCCTCGGAAGCACCAGATCGCGCAGCCTCCTCAGAGCCTAGCTCAACGAGGCCGAACCCCTTCACCGACGGCGACGATTCTTCTAGGAAACGACGCCGAACGTCCATGTCTGGTGGCTCCCGGAGCCTCTCCGTCGACAGTACCAAAGCGAGCATCGATACCTCAAGCTCACCAGCGGCAAACCGCCCCGACGAAGCTGCCACACAAGACTCTGCCATGAAGATAGACACGCATTCCTCTACCCCGCAAACACCAGAACGGCAGTCGACAGCTCGAGAGCCTCCGACAGAACCTTCCTCTAGCCGGGTCACGATAAACCTACGCAATGCCACCCAGCCCGATCCTCTCTCCTCTTCTCCTGTCTCGCCGACACCCCGGAACATAACAGACCCACCGACTGAACTTCCGGAAGGTGTGAAGAAGAGTGTTGAAGACCTGGGCGAAGTCGACATGGCGCAAGCTCCTATCGAGATCACAGATACCCCACCTTCTTCGTCGTCAAGCCCACAGAGCCCCGAGGTCGAGGTGGTTGCAATAACCGACGATGACCAGGATGCTCCGTACGACGACGATGTCAGTATCATTCGCGAGGATGCTGCATCCTTCGACCCGACCCCCGATTTTCCGTACAACGAGGCTCACGAGTCACTTCCTGATACTGTCACGAAGCTAGTTCAATATCTGAGTTCCCGTGAGTGCTGTGCAGCTCAAGCTAAAGCTCGAGAAAGCTTGTACCGGTCTAACTGAGAATAGAAGCGCCCCCGGAAGAAGCTGTGCTAGAGTCTCTGTATGCCTGGATGGTCTCATACGTTAAATACGTTGGCCTCGTTGGTGGCAGGGTCGCGTACGATTCCCAAGTGGCTTATCAGACCTTTTGGCACATGTTTCCCGAAATCGCCTGGGCTTTGGCGACTAGAAAGTAAGTACTCTGGTGCGTCTTATTGAAATGATTACTTGCTCACACACGTTCTTCAGACATCCTATTCCACTGGAAACACGGCAAACGATTGGCCAATTTTTTCACGCCTATGCCAGGATGACCGCTCATTTTGTCGAATTCGATTTCATCACAGCTCAGGCTTTTCAGATGTCTCCAGGCGACGAACGGCGCCAACCGGAATTTCTTCTCTTTCGCTTTTTGCAGCCCTTGACGTCATTCGCTAAGAGAGAACATAGCCGGGCTCAGAACGGCCAAATACCTGACGAAGAGCTGCTCAGCACCGACATGCTGAACACTTTCCAGGCGGGAATTGGTGGTATCAAAGGATTGATCAAGCTAGCTCAGATGCACTTGAGCAATGCGCCGAGATATCAACATTTGATGGACGTACTCGCGCCGATTTGCAGCGTCGCTGCACATATCCTTCAAAAGGTTGTTCAGGGTATCCACCGAGAAGCCTCCCCTCAGAGCCTAGAGATGGCGAAAGTCAGAGTGGCGGACGGTCATTTGCTGTACAACCTAGCTTCCAATGCCTTTTCCGCAACGATCGAAAACAAGGTAACTCAGCTCACAAACGACACGACAACAAATCTCATTCATTCGCTTTCGGAAGTTTTCAAAATCTGCCTCAGCGGTGAACACAGGCTGGCCACAGAACGTCTGAGAGCGTACCAGCAAAAACATCCTGAGTTGCCCTCTAAATTCATCCCAGAGGCCATCTCGCTGGAATGGCGACTTGGAATATACGGAAAGCTCATCACGTCGAGTCAGATGCAGCTGCGTGTCCTGGCAGCATCGAACATGTGCCATGATCTGGTTACTTGCTGGAAGAGGTACAGCGACAATGAAGATGAGGAGTGCAAGCAGTTTTTGAATTACGTGGCCGAGTACCTTCTTCGAACCAAGTTAGTCGACTACATCTTGGGACCGACATGCCATCCCGAAATCACAGTCGAGAGCGGTAATATCGTCGGGTTCCTGGTCGTTACTCGCCTATATCGTAGCGGGCAAACCGATCTGCTATGGCAGACCATCACCACTGCTCAAGATCCACGAGTTTCAGAAGCCTTGATTCGCATGACAACGGGCATCACAAACTTGTTCTCCAAGGAGGAGCTGCATTACTTGTGCGAGAAGATGCAAACCTTGCCCATCGAGAATTTCACCGCATCTTTACGGGGACTTTGCGACCAAAGCCTGAAGTCTCTTCAGCACAAAACCCAGATTGCGGGCGAGTCGCAGAGCGTGCTGCCGTTGAGTATCTGCATCCGACTTTTGCGAGAATCCTCGATATATGTTTCGGATTCGGTCGTTGCTTACCCAGACGTTCATCACTTTGCAATGAACAAGTTCAGAGAACTAGTGAGAGACGGTATTGAACCCGAGGTGCGGAAAGAGATCTACCTCGACTGCATCAAAGATATTGCTGCAAAGACGTCGACGACATTGGGCACTTTGTCATGTCTCTCAATGGCATTACGGCCTGCCGTGGCGTCCGAGCTACGAACCTTGACGACAGACCATAACTTGACATCATTGCTTATTGATGAACTTGAGCATGCGATTGAGCAAGGGAAGCACAATGGCATCAGAAGGACCCTCGGCGGAGCGGCCAACCATTCTCGAAGAGATCTCATTACCAATATCCTGGCTTACGAGCCATCAACAGTCACATCAGACCTGGGTCCACGCCTTTGGGATATGCTTGTGGGCTATGGTGCAGCGAGTCAAGACGATCGGGACGATGGCTGGAAAATCTTGAACTCCCTCCCCAAAACAGCATTTGGCAACCCTTTCCTATCAGTCTGCTTTAGCGACTACCTACCGCATCTTCCTCGCGATTGTCTCTGCGGAGGAGCATTGGAATTTGTCAGAAACGCCGTTCTTCCGCGTGTCAATGACATCAATGATATCATACTGGATGACCTTGAGAGTCTCGCGCAGAGCGGAGTTGAACAGCTTTGGCGCATGATCCTCGACGCTGAAGATGGAGTTATGGTTGCCAAAGACCTGACATTCGTGGATGCTGCGATTCAGACGCTCGTAGGTGACATCTATGTCGATAGTAAGTCTATTATGGCATACCCTCATCACAGAGCTTGCCAGGTTCATCTGGGCCTCGTAAATCGATGCCTCGAGCAGATGCTAGACGCTGCGAAGCGGCTGGAGGCTTCCAACGGCAGCAATCCTAGCGACGATGAGTCTATGGCTGTCATATCAACCGAGGAGCAGACTTTAGAACAAGAGCGAACTTTCAGCCGATCTCTTGCGGTTCTGCGGCACTTTATGAAAGCTCACCAAGCCAAGGATCACTTCTCTGCTCCCGACCTCCGCGCCTTGACACCTGGCTCGCCGAGTATAGCCGAAGGAGAGTCAGCTGAGCTCAAAGTCCAGTCCTTTGATGGGAACAAGCAGACAGACATCATTCCTCTCGAAGTCGGACGACAGAATACAGCCGCCTCCCTTTTAGCGACTATCAGGCAAGCAACGGGCTTCGATAACTACCGTATTTACTACCGTGGCCACCCGTTTGCACCCAACGAAAATAACGTTTGTCAGTCTCTCGAAGACTTGAAAATTCACGATGGTCTCATCCTGGTCAAACGGGAGGAGAATGGTACAGCCATGGCGTCTAGAATCAAGCCAGGTGCCTCCCTCTTGGAAATAGAAATCCTGGGCCACTTCGAGCAGCTTTGGGACTATTTGAGTATGAAAGAGGCTATTGCCACAGAGGTATGCACTCGAATTGTCCAGGCCAGGTCTCAAAAAGTTAACTCAGTTACAGATGCACACGTTTCTCACGGGGTTGCCTGCCGATACACACATGTTGGCTACCTTCGATTCGTCAGATGCCTCATATCGACAAGTTTTTCCATCGGGCCAGCCATTCAAGTCGCTATATGCCCTGTACGCCATGACGGAGTACATACGAGCTGCCGGCCGTCGACTGACCGAGGCTACAGCGACACTTACCGATGCCGTTGATGCAGATGTGGACGCGTATCTAGACGCGCTCGTCAGGGTGAGGGCACTGGTTGTAGCGGCGATCTCCGATCGTGAAATCATTGGAGACTGTGCCTCTGGAGCTCTCCAGAACCGTCTGACTTACAACTTCATGAACGTCTACGGACTGACTTTCAGAGGTGAGTTGCGGAGATCTTGAAGACTTGGACAATCTAACTTCGCAATAGACCCTGATATCGACGAGCTCGATGTACGGCCCAAGCCGGTAGCTATGGCGCCTGCAGACCGCCTCGTCGAGATTCTTCGGTCCGCGGTGTCTGCTCCTAGCCACAGCGGCTTGATTCCCCTCATCGCATCGACTTTTTCGGCCATTCTTCGAAGCGCAGCCGTCGACTCTGCCTTCTGGATGTCTCTGAAAGCGTTGCCTGACCTCGAAGAGTTGATGGGAATCTTGCTCCTCGATGAACCTTCAGATGCAATTCGTGCAAACGTCGCCAAGCTATTGGAAGAAAGAGTCATCGTGCCCTACGAGTACGTATTGCATACTGGAGAGCATGTGCTAAGCTCTGACATATCGAATAGACCCAACACGAATACCAACTCGTTCTGCGCATTCTTGTGGCCAATGTTGCACCGACTGATAATTAGAGCAGCAAAATCTCCTAAACAGTGTCAGCAGGTGTTTGACTTGTCACTCGTCCTGCTACGTGAGATGGCATTCGATGAAGCTGCCGTTGCGGACATTCCTGCTTTGGCCAGCGACTGTGGCAGGCTACTGCTCGAGCACGATTCTACCGAGGTAAGCAGCGCTGTGACGGACTATTTAGATTAATGTGCTGACCATGTCAAGCGACTCGGACAAGCCGGGACCGAAGATGCTGTGGCCAATGGTTTAGTAAAACTTATCCAGAGTTGCCTTAACGAGGGATCGGACGTGGATTTGGAAAGCAGCCTTCCAGCGTGAGTGAATAACAGGGTACCGTGCAATACTCCGCATCGATATTGACTATTAACGCAGAAACCTTGGCCGAAAGCTGTTCTGGAAACACCTATTTCCGCAACCAGGGCAGCATAGCCTGAGTTCGATTCGAAATTTTCTCCTGTCGACGAATACTAGAGGAATTCTTGCCGAGATCATCTTCGACCTAGTACGCGACCGAGAATACGAGTTCCTCGCTTTGATTGAAGCCCTTGAATCGCTGGTTCCGTTCGATGAGTTTGATAACGGTTTGCTTACCCATTCCTTTACTACTGAGGGGCGCGGCTTATGCAGAAGGACAGATCCATATCTCTACGAATTACAGCCTTCATTCGACAGGATGTCTGCCGTGAGGGCTCCTTGTGGCTATGCCGGGCTCCGCAATCTGTCCAACACTTGCTATCTGAACTCGCTCTTCACACAGCTCTTCATGAACACAGGCTTCCGTCAATTCATGATGAACGCCCGCATCCCAGCCCAATCGAACACCCACGGTCTGCTCAGAGAGACGCGCAAACTCTTCGCTTTCATGCAGGAGAGCTCTCGAAAATTCATCGATCCTAGCCTCCTTGTCGGGTCGATCAAGACATATGAAGAGACCGTCATCGACGTTCACAACCAGATGGATGTCGACGAATTCTACAACCTGCTTTTTGATCGCTGGGAGGGACAGCTTTCAACAGCAGATGACAGAAAAACGCTAAGATCCTTTTACGGCGGTCAGCTCGTACAGCAAGTCGCCTCCAAGGAGTGCGAACATGTTTCTGACCGACTAGAGCCATTCTCGGCGATTCAGTGCGACATCAAGGGCAAGAGCACCCTCCAAGATAGTCTCCAGGCTTATGTCGACGGGGAGATCATGGAAGGAGACAACAAGTATAAATGCTCGAGCTGCGACCGACATGTGGACGCAGTGAAGAGGGCTTGTTTGAAGGACATTCCGGATAATCTGATTTTCCATCTCAAACGATTCGATTTCAACCTGCGGACTCTTATGAGAAGCAAGATCAACGATTACTTCTCGTTTCCAACCAAAATCGACATGCGGCCCTACACTGTTGGACATCTTGACTCTCCTTCCGAGCCTGGTGAAGAGGATATGTTCGAGTTGGTCGGTGTGCTCGTTCACGCTGGTACGGCAGAATCCGGTCATTACTACTCATACATCCGGGAAAGACCGACTGCGGCCTCCTCGGAGGCTTGGTTTGAGTTCAATGACGACCTTGTCACGCCTTGGGACCCAGCCAAGATGGAAGAGTCGACTTTTGGTGGCACGGATGGGTCTCTGGAAACCGGCATAGCTTACGACAAGACGTATAGTGCATACATGCTCTTCTACCAACGGTCTTCGGTTTTGAAAGCAGAGCAAGAGAAGTTGCAACGCCAATCTATGCCGACCCCATTGAAGGTCGAGGTCCCACTCGAAGTCATCGATCATATCAACGGGGAGAATACGTTGCTCCTACGGAGACACTGTCTCTACGACCCAAACCACTCGAAATTCGTGCTCCGGGTGTTCCAACATGCCATGATGCGAAATGGTGGGAAATGTTCTGACACACACGTCGTTGAGCAGCATGCGATGTTCATGTTTCTTGGCCACCTTGACCAAGTTGCATCCCGAACCAAAGACCTCCCCGACTTTGAAGAATATCGAGACGAGATTGAGCATGCCATTGTCAACTGTGCTAATTGCGCTGCGGACTTCTTCGATTACTTCCAGGAGAGGCACGAAGCATTCCGGCAACTTTTGCAGAGAAACCCGGACCCGGCCATCAGATACTCGATCGGCAGTCTCTTCCTCACGGCCCTGCGGCAGATCAAAACCTCTAGGCCAGAGATGTGGGGGCTGTCACAGGACGAGCTGGTCGAAGACCCTGTCATAATGCAGTGCGTTCAGCTGCTCGAGGCGCTATGGAACAACTTCCACGCTAATATCAGGTCATGGCCTGAAGTTTTCCAAACTATCCTAGCCTTTGCGCAATTGGGCACGATGGAGACTGCTGTGCTCATGGCGGAAAATTGGTTCTACAGGGTGCTACGCATTGTCTTTGCTGATGCCAACATGGATCTTCCCAGCAACTACGCTCGAATGCTTACGAACGTCATTCGTCGCATCAGCAATACGCGCTCAACATCGTACGAAATGATCATCCAGCTGATCGACCACTTCATGGACGCTCTAGAGGATGTCCTTGACGTTCACACAATCGTCGAAAGTGCCGAGATGCGATTGGATATCTACATGGAACATCAGGCGCCAAAAATGTCATGGACCCCAGAAGAGATCAACGTCTTAACCCACGAGTGGAAGCTAGACGCAGGCAGTACTTTTGTCAAAAAGCTGATCGATATCGACCAAGAGCCTGCTTACACAACATCGATCATCAAAAGGATCATTAACCTGAGCCCCGACATGGATAACAAAGTCTTCACACTCCTCAGAAATACGATAACAGGCGGCGCAGTACAGTATTCCAACGCGCCCTACATCAGAGCTGCTGCGTTATACTCCCAAGAGAGCAGAAACGCAGCCAATATCCAGGCCCTCTTCCGCACGATAGCATTCCAGTGCAGGGCACTGCAAAACACGGACGGACAGGCCTTTCTGGAGTTTTTCCGACTTGCCTATGTGCATCTGCAGAACGAAAGAGAGGAGATTCGGGTTCTGCGGTATCCTCAATACGTCGAGTTTATCCCTATGTGGGCACCTCCTCTGTTGGGCTACTACGACGCAGATGTGCGACAGGGCACGGAAACCCTCCTCTATATGTGGTTCGAGAATCATGACTTGCTCGATGGTGAAGACGAGAGTTTGGCGGCAGCTATAAACGCAACGGCACGGAAGCTTGCCATGAGCTGCCTGGTATACCTTCAAGAATACTTTGTCAAGCGACGCGCTCAGGTGGCAAAGCATTCCACCGAGCACCTCCAGGCCATTATTGCCAAGTGTGAACCCTTCTTTGGGGTCGATCTGGGACTTGAAAATGATCGCCTCATTACCTTTGCAGAGTACCAAAATCTCTACCACTGTAAGTAATCAAGTATTTGACGATGGGGTCACTGCTAACACTCAATGCTAGCTGTCCTTGAGCCATTGCGCCGCATGACGGTTGAAGAATTGGAGGATGAGGGCTCCGGTATGTCTCCAGGACTCTACAGTGATTCAGACACCCTCGGCTCGGAACCGTGACGGCTGACTGAACGGCCGTCAAGACTGGGAGAATTCGTGCGGGTCCTCCGAGCAATTGGAAAGCATTGCGGACATCAGTATGCAGGCGGCTGGCGACCTTCCAGAGTCAGACCTCCAGTGACGGAAACCGCCGGCGACCCTGACGAATTGAACGACTATGACATTACTTGTGAACATAAATGGTGCGACGTGGTAGGAAACAGGCCAACTGCGTAAGGCGTCTAGGAGACGAAGGACGGGTTCTGAAATTAGCAGCAGAGAGCGCTATACATGGACGGCGGAAGCTTCTTGCATTTACATGGCGTGTAGGCGTTTGAGGGCCCAAGGAAGGGTAAAAGTTTTCCAAGTCCAGCAGATGGGCAGTAACGGCCGAAGGGACAGGGTATCATGGCCTTTGACGAATTGCTGTAAACTGGGTCTTTTCTTTATTGGACGGATGACTAGGCGGATGCGGAGATTGCGAGGAAGTGCGTGATAGAGCCAGAGATGGGTCTTGATGCCGAGATTAGCATTATCAGCAAGACCCTCGCAGCCGGGTCTCATAGAGAGATATCAAGTCTAGGAATTATTTTTGGCACACTTGCCTAGTCGAAGAAGAGTAAAGTAAAGAGCTAAGAGCTGCACAATGACTGGTGAGATGAAACGATGGAAGATCAAGTAGTACCCGGCGGCATTTGCTAGTGAGTGGATATGAAGACGGGTAATGTGATGATGAGCGTTCAATATAGTGATGATGCTACGGGATTGTTTCCAATATTAGTTCTTTCCAAGCGGCTTAAAGGAGTTTAAAGTGACGGTGACGGGAGGATTATTGGGTCACGGTGGTGTCCTGTGGCTCCCTCGTAGCCGCCGGGCCATGGAGGGGGAGGGGGGTAAGTGAGGAGTTCATAGACTGGGGGTCGGTCAGCTTGCAGAAAGTGGAAGTCTAGGTTGAATTTCATTGGTGAGGAACAGGGGGTTGCTCAGCATGCTTGTCGGGTGGGCACGTGGAGAGATCTACGGAAGTACTCTTGGGGACAGAGATAGATTGGAAAGAATGAGAAGCCTTGTCGGTGGGCACGTGGAGAGATCTACGGAAGTACTCTTGGGGACAGAGATAGATTGGAAAGAATGAGAAGCAAATCAGGCTCTGAAGATGGGAATTTTCTTTCTCCCTTTTTGGAAATAGATGAGGGGCATGACAGGCCTAGATGTGGTGGGGGTTGTCTACGGAGTATGGGAATACTGCGCGAGAGGCCGGCGTTTATGGGGTTTGATCGGTAGGTAGAGGTTGACGATTGGCCGTGGGGCGTTTAGACCCGAGGTTGGGGATGACTGGGCGCAATCGCTGTGGGAAGTGATTTTCATGACGTTGCGGCTGAGGGGCCGGAATTAGACCTCTGGTGATGACATGGTGTAAGGTAGGTGGGATGTGAAGGTGGTTGTTTCTCGTTTCTCGTTCGGCTGAGGGTCGCGCAGGTCGCAGGTCAGCGGCCCCCCGCGCGATGAGTGAGAAGCGAAGCACCGATAGAGGGGGAGGTGAGGATGATTTCACGGAAGTGGATGCTGTAGGTTGCGATTTGATGCCGAGAGGGAGGCAAGTGCCGGGATCTTGGCGATGTAAGGTACAATGAGGAGGTTTTCTCGGGGTGAATGGGTGGAAAGAGGGGGGGGGTGGGTATGCGCTGCTGGTTGCTATCTGCGATTGAAGGACTTTACCAGATTTTCCTACCGAGGAGGGGAGAACCCATCCGATGTTTTTGCCAAATGGATGACAAGTGACGTTTACGGTGTATGAGAAAGCGAGAATTTTTGGTAATGGGTGTTCAATGGGCTAGTCTGGACTTCTCATCGATATCGGTGCACATCGGGGACCGGCGAGCTTGCAATGATCCGGGGCGGGGGGTCTCGGGGGCGGTGCTTGGCGGGACCGTCGGCATGTTTTTGGTGTGGTGTTTGAGGAAGTACTGTGATGGTGGGATGTGAGGTCATCTCGTGATGCCCGTTTGTTGTTGTCGGACGAATGGGTGAGAGGCAGGAGAGTGAATTTCTGAAAATGTGGCGATCGTAATGCTGGTGAGTTGTAAAATCGGCGGTTGTCATCGCGGGGTAGAGTAGGGATTTCTCTTGGCCGGTGTTTGGCTGGGCGAAACAAAGTTGGTGACGTTGGTATGGAGGGGAGGGGTTGAGAAGAGTGATGGATGGGTGGATGGATGATGACGCAGGCGACAGCTGGTGAGGAGGGGAGAAGAGTACCGTGGAACCCGCGAAGCTAGTAGTCGGGATAATAGAAAAGCAGGTTTTGGCGGGTTGTTTGACGGTTTCGTGTGGTTGCTATCAAAATGGCGGGATGATGGGATGAGGCTCGGCTCACTCGGTTTACACTACCTGACCTCCGGGCTGCTGTGCATGAACTGTAGGGGAGGGAGGGAGGGGGAGGATAGTTGAAGTGACGTGCTTCAGAGTTTTGGTGTACCACACCATCGGGAGGAGGTGAGCAGTTAGGTAAGGGATGCTCTGAGTAGGATAGAGAAGTTGGTTGTGGTCAAATACGAACAACTTCAGATGAAGGCGAGGCGCAGGCGCGGGGAAAGCTGCCGGTGGGTGTTGGTGGTGTTGGTAGTGTGGTGGGAGGGAAGTTTAAGGCAAGCTAAGGTAGTTGGAGGTTCGTTCTCTCGATCCGATGTGATGTGTGAGTTCTCTGACTGACTGACAAAATCTTGGCAGGCTGTTTGAGCCAAGAAAGATGTAAACCGCGGCGAAAGAGAAAGAGAAGACGATGCTGGTGTGTAGTTTTCACACGATGGTTAGGATAGGGATAGAATAGGCCTTGATCGCGATCGTGATACGGCATGGGATGACGGGGTGTAGTTGAGATGATAATGTCACGAGACGCTCGAAAAAGAGCCAAGATGAGGAGTTGTGGCTTTTGCGACGGATTCGAAGAAACCTTCTTTTTTTCTGCCTATGATCGACTCGGGGAGTTTACAGTTCTATATTGGCCGTTTCTTGTCTCTTGGTATTATTTTGGTGGTGTTTCTCATTTGGTCCTTGCCTACCTACCTAGTAGGTGGTCTAGTGCACCATTGTATGTATCCTCGACAAGAATTGCTTCCAACAGTGACGGACAAGAAGAGGCCAACACGCCAAGCTCCTTGGCCCCGTTTCCAGTTGCCCTCGTCACTGACTCTCCCACTCTTCTTTTTCCTATCTGTATGCAACTCGTCTGTTCTTTTCATCGTCGCAATCTCGATGAGTGACCATGAGATTGATCACCCGCCAAGCTTCTTCGTCACAGCCCGACAACATGGGACCATGAGATTGATCACCCGCCAAGCTTCTTCGTCACAGCCCGACAACATGGTAAAAGGTGGAGTGAACGAGGGGAGCGGGGAGGGGCAATTTATCTCGAGCGGCATCTCGAGACGAGACGTTGTCACTGCGAAGAGGTTTGTTTTGCTGGGGTATATTGAATTATTGATGTTATTTTCCCGTGGCCCTACTATGTACTGCAAGTTGAAGTCCTGTTACGGCCAACCGTCAAGTAAATTGAGTGAAGCTTAACACATTCCCCACGTCAATTGAGAGGCATCTTGGCATAGCCATAACGGCGAAGGAATTAATTTACTTCCCGCCCGCCGCACTAGCGGTTCCCTCTTTCGGCAACGCCAAAAATCCCGAATCGATCGGACTAAAGAAAGTCAAGGAAGAGACAGAGAAAGTAAGTGATGGTTTAGTCCCGCCAGAGTTTGAAGACTGTTGTGCCATTGTTTGGGCGAAAGAGAGGGAACCCGCTTTACCCAAGTGGTTCTTTGTTCAACATTCTCTTTCGTCGTTGGCGATCCTCGTTTACGTGTTTACTGTGACGAACGTTCGGTAATGCCCCTCCCTTCTTTGTTCCTGCGTTCCACAAAGAATAAAGGAGTTCGCCGTTACTGGCGGCCACGCCTCCCACGAGTTCGCCATTGCCGGCTCCCACATTGGAAACGGTCATCTCCACCCCATTCCACCCCCAGCGGGCTGACCTCACCGAAGCGTTGGACGAGGTAAGAGAGAAGGCGAGGGTAGAAGAGAAAGAAAGAGATGCCATGCGGTGCCACGCCATGCCCACGCCACGCAGCAATCTATTTTTGCGACGCTGGCGAGAACGGCGGGCCCGCGCAAGGTTCAAGCAGAAGATCCACCTGGCACCATGGGATCCTTGAGATGGGATGGGAAAATCATGGGATAGAAGCAGAGCAGAGCAGCACACCTACCACAGTACCCAAGGTGGGAGCCCCCACAATCATCATGCACGTACACCCCTGCACCGGCACACAGCGCCCACCCACGTCGATCCAAGAGTCGATCCCCGCGCTCCGTCAGAATGACACATGATTGGTCTGTCGCGGGCAGACGGCCAGTGACAGATTGCTGAAAATAGCAGCGTAGCCGCCCAGAGGGACGGGACAAGATGACGCTAGAGCAGTGATGCAGCTGGGGGAAATTCTACGATTGGACGAAATGGAATGAAATCATGAATTCCACGCCAGGAGCCCAAGAAGCAGGGCGGACAGACGGCTTTTTTTTTTCTTTCTCTCTCTCTCTTGCAGGATAACTCCCGTCGTTCAAATGAACTGTTGTCCAGGGGGGAAAATGCATGCGCTCGCAGCGGTGCATCTGATCTGGGCCGTATCTTGTGTCCGGAGAATAAGGCAGCATTCGGAGTGGTTGATTCGCTCTCTTTCAACTCTGCAATCTGATTTATTTCTGGAATTCTTACCTATTTTTCGTCTTCAATTTTAGGTACGGGGACGCGGGTATGTCGTGTGATGGAAGTGCAGTAGCTTCCATTGAGGAAACGGTTCTCAGTCACGCTCATTTGCCTTCTCGAGTCTTGATTTAGAACATGACTGACAAAACCAAACTCCATCTCACCCAGTCCAGCCATAGGCCCAGGCAAAGGAAGAGTAAGGCAAGCTTACCGGGCGGCATGAAGTCGTACGCGTAGGTCGTCAGGTACTTCGAGCTTAGCTCACTTCACCTATCGGGGACAACGGCCGACAGTTCTCTCAACTTGAACGACCGGCCCTCACAATAATTAGTATACCTCGGGTTATGGTGCTAGGTCAAGGGTCGAGAACGCGTGGTATGGCTGGCGGCACGTTTGATGACGGGCTGAGATAGATGACAGGCGGGGGACACTCTCGGTTGCTGTTTCCAGGATTCCCCACCCCTTTTTCTTCTGCTTCTCTTTCGCAGATGCCATCCCTCACTCGTGCGAGCGTCTCCCACATTCCTTGGCAGAAAGCTCGTTGTCGCCTTCGCGTGGATGTCACCGTCCGGGTTCTAGGTAGGTACCTGAATGGAGGGGGGGGGAAGGGCATGATGGAAAGGTGGTGTTGCGTGCATGGCGTGTAAACTAAAGACGAGAAAACGAGGAAGATCATGAAACAAATCCTCGCCCACCTATCCATAGCTCCCCTTTTCACTGAGTACTCTCTTCGCCGCCGTCCGCCCTCCCCTTTGGAAACCCCTGCTTTTCTCCGTGAGTTACCCCCCCTGGGCCCTGCCATGACCATGACCAAAAAGCCAGAGCCACGATACGCACGCGGCGCACCACGTCGTCCAACATTGTCATCTAGAAGAGACGGGTTTCATCTTTCTTTGGCGCTGAATGAGTAGCCCACGCACCTTACGTAGTCGACGGTAGAGTTTCCCTTGTCACACACGCCACGCCACGCCACGCCAAACCTTTTTTTATCCCACTTTTTCGATCTACGTCTTCCATGTCTCCCATCATCGTCACCGCCGTAGTATTGCGGTCATTCCATGTCGCTTTCTCACCGCATCTCTATGCGACGGGTACCTCGTGTGGTGGTCATTGTGGGTGTGCATTTCCAAGGTACCTACCTCACCGGCCGGCATCTGCGGGGGGAGGGAAAGAGACGACCCATGTCCAGGGTACCTATTCGTAAGTGCCAGTGGGGTCAACGTCCGAGGTATCTCATCCACACCTCGTGTACGAAGTACATCGGCAGATAGCTGCTTTCCCCTTCGGGACCATGGGCACTTACACCAAAGGAGGAGGCGGCGGCCACACGCCCACCTCATTCTTCCTCTTTACCCATAAGGCTGTTTTGAGTTGCATCGCAGCAACAACGAGACGGGCTTACAAGGGGGGGTTTCCTCCTGCATACGAGTGTGCTCCTCTGCGTCTTGTTTCAGATTTTTTTTTGGGTAAACCCTTTTAACCCTTTTTGGGGGTGATACATGCAAGTTTGCCAACAGGCCGGTTTTGTTGATTGATATAACATCATCCATCCTCCCCCTTCCATCCACGATGTAGAAAGATGTTCAGCAGTAGTATTTTGGTGTTTGTGTTTTCTCAACATTCGCGCAAATCTAAGCCTGGCGCTCAGTGTCTCCTTATCACACTCTCTTCGAATAGTTCCTTTTTAAATTTGTAACTTTCATCGACCTGGCGTCACCCTATTTCGGCTTTCTACTACATTGTTCCCATCGACAACGGAAAACATCTAAATCAAAACCCACACAACAACGCAATGGATCTCAAGAGTCGCATCTCGTCGCCTCTGGAGGCCGGCACCTCCATTCTCGATGTCCAGCACTTGCCGCCCCATCTCAACGAGGCTCTCGAGTACGCCTCCAAGCGCCTAGCTAGAAAGGCCCTCCATGTCACCCTCGTCGTCGCCCGCCGCGAGTACCAGCTCCCCACCCTCCTCCCTTCCTCCGCCTCCTCTTCGGCCTGCTCCTCGGTCCTCTCCTCACCGACAATGTCGCCCGTCCCGGGCTCGGCATCCAGCACCTCCTCAGTCTCGTCGTCGTCCTCCCGCTTCAACTTCTCCACGAAATCGCCCGTCTCCTCCTTCAAGAAGCTCGTCCGCACAAACACCGGCTCCAGCGTCTCTTCCGTCTCCTCCGTCTCATCGGCGGGCAGTAACGCTCCCGAGAGCTTCGTCTTCACTCCCTCCTTCCTCATGGACACCAACGGCCCGAGACTGAGATGGCCTCTGTCGCCCGGCATCCCCCTCTCGCCGCCGCCCATGACACCGTCGACGGCCTCTTCCACCATCACCGACGCCTCCGGCCCTATGTCGCCCAACCCCTTTGGCATCCGCCTCGTCCACGCCGACCTGCTCACCGACAAGCAAGAGAGGACTCTGCGCCAGACCATTGATCGGGCAGAGAGGAAGTTCCGCATTGGGTACGCTCCTTTCCTCCAACGTCGACCCCCTTCCTACAGAGCACCCACTAACACGATCTTCCCTGCAGAACCGAATGGCTTCCCCCGGTAGTAGACGGCTCCGCATGCGGCCTAACAAGCAGCCTCATCCGCCGCTCCATCGTCCAAAACGAAGTCCTCTTCGCCTCAGAGGGCCTCACCCTCGTCTCCCTCGACCGCCTCTACACATTCAAGGCCGCCCTCTCAAGCTACTCTCGCACAAACGCCCCTCTCCGCCTCGAAGATGCCGTCGACGAGCTCCGCCGTCTCGTCCTCTCCCGCGCCGGCAACAAAGTCGCCAAGGCAGACATCCTCCGCTCCTACGACTGGCTCAGCGTCACCGACGTCGCGCTCGCGGACGTCGACAAGATGTACCGCAGGGCCTACGGCGGCCCGGACAGGGTCGGCGCCATCGAAGGCGTCGGCGCCGCGGCGCAGGTGGCGAGGACGGTGAGGGAACTCGAGCGCGAGGTCGACGAGACGCTGGCCGGCACAGTAGCCGCAACGGACGACTTAATCCGTATCGCCAAGCCGCCTTCCCCGCCAAAGGGCCCCATCCTAAAGCTGCAGACAAACTTTGACGTCAGGAACATGGTGGCTGCGCCCGTGGAGGTCGCAGAGGAGGACGAGGACCTCACGGCCCGGCCGGAGCGTCAGCCGCCCGTGTCCATCTGGAGCCCCGTGTCCATTGCCGAGGTCCTGCACGAGGACCGTCGCAGCCAGTCGGGTCCGATGACGCCCAACGGCTACGATGATATCTCGCCCATCACTCGTGGCGAGTGGGGGTTCCTCATGGGACCTGCCGGTGTGGGTGGCGGTCGCACTGCCCCTGTCATGACTTGCTGAGCGGCGATTTTGTTCATTTTCTTTCTTGCTGTGTTTGAACTATGTGAAAAAGATGTAGGAGCGGTTTGGTGCATCCTTCTGTGTGTAAGATAGCTTTCTTCCCTTTCAAGTGTTACGACCTTCACGAGTACATTTTTCTTCTTCTGGGGATACCAGGTCAGGGCAATGCCAGACATCATGTACATTACCTGCATTCAAATCGCAAAAAGGGCAAAAGCCCCTAAAATTTCAGACAAGAACACAAACATTTTCTCATCAAAAAAGATCTGTCATCATTTCGGGTATCATACTTTGTGTCTCCTCTCTCTACCATCCATAGCGACTTGACGCCTCCTTCCTGTTGCTCTTCCCCTTGGCGAAGCTGTCCTCGAGGGCCTCGCGCTGGTTCTGCACCTGGTTGACGAGCTGCTGCAGGCTGTGCTTGCCCGGCGCGATGGCCCGCACGGGATTGTGGATCTGCTGCTGGCCCGCGGCGCGGATCTCCTCGTTGTGCCTGTACTCCTGGTCCGTGTTGAAGTTGATGACCCTCGACGCCGTCTGTGGCGCGGCGCCGACGTTGCCGCCCTTTTGGCGACCGAAGAGCTCGCGCCTGGCTGCCGCTGAGAGGTTGAGATCGTTGGCGATGGTGTCGAGGGAGTCCGACGTGTTAGGCGCCGTCGTCGGGACCGTGAAATGTGCTTGTGCTGCGTAGTCTGCGTAGCCGTTGTCCGCTGCTGCCGGCTGTTCTGTTTCGAAGAGAGGCTCGTATGCGCCGCTGGTCCCTGACGCAGCGGTTTCTGCCAATGTCTCTTCGGGCTCGATGGAGAACAGGGAGACCTTCTTTGGCGCTGGTGCCGGTGCTGGGGCGGGTGCAGCCTCCGGCTGTTGAGTTGAAGTCGATGCGGGCTTTTGTGTCGTAGCCCCTGGAGGAATAGAGTTCACTGTCTTCTTCTTCGTCTTCCTGGCCACGGAGAGAGGCTTAAACATCATCGGCTTTCCCACCAGCTTGACTTCGTCCGGGGGCTTCATCCCTTCTGGTATCGACGGTTGCGCTTGGGCTTTGGCCGGGGGCAGACTGAGCCCGTCGGCCCCGGAGCCTGGCAATCCACTTGTGTCTGATCCTCCTCTTTCTCTGCTGAATCCAGGTTCGGCCCCTGTCTTTAGCTGGAACGCCGGCCGCGATGAGCTGCTGCCGCTGCCGCTGCTTTGCGCCGAAGCAGAGGCCTTCGCAGCAGCGTTCTTGGGAGCTGGTAGGAAAGAGTTGAAGCCGCTGAATCGACCACCGCCGTTTCCTGTCCGCGCGCGCTTCACTGGAGGTTCGTCGCTCGGGAGAGAGCCCTTCGAGGCTTCGGGTTGTGTTGATGGCAGACTGACGACGATCTTGCCTGGGTTCGACCGGTCGACGACTTTTTGGAATGGTTTCTTGCCTGTGGCAGTAGTCGTTGGCTTAGAGACGGTTGGCTTGACAGGTGCCTCGTCCTCTGATCCTGATGATTCTGAGTAGTCGACCAAGCCCATCTTTGTTGAATTTCAAGTCGTTTCGGTGGATATGGATTAGAGCCGAAAAATATGTCGATCGCAAGAGTGAAGTGCTGCTGCAGGTCAACAAGGTGCAGAGTGCACCACTGCAAGGCTGGTCACCTAGTCCAGGACCGTGCGTCATTGTGGTGCACGAGCCACATCTTCAACACTGCTGTTTCACAAGGCTGAGGGAGGTACGACCGCATCTCGAAGCTACCCCTCGGCGGCCAGTTGTTTCCTTCTCCTCACATTTCTCACCAAACTTCCTTTGCCATTCTGTGAGCTGAGCTCGCAATTATGTTCTTTTCCCGATCGCGGGCGTGGCTTCTTTCGATCTGACAGCCCTTGGGATGATCCGTTACTGACCATTTCCTTTCATTCCCCGTTGACCGGTAGCGCCCATTATGTCGGTCATTCAGAACGAAGAGTACGTGGGCATTGCATTCTTTGAGAGAACTACTTTACTGATGACTTTTTGAACAGGCTAGTTGCGTACCAGCTACGCTGCGGCTACCTCACTGAGATCGCCGATGGAGTAGGAGAGCGACTGATCACCCTTAATGAGGGGTTCATGAACTCCTCAGCTTTCAAGGCGGTCGCATGGCAAGCCAACCCCGATCTCGTCAAACGATGTTACTCCCCTCCGATTCCAACCGCGATTGCGTCCGAATATTTCCAAGCCCCTAGACAGGCTGGAGTGACCCTTGAAGATGAGCCCGACGAAGCTGGAATGTTGACCGGAGGAGGCACCGATACGCTTGGCCCCGGTCTTGCTACAAGAAGAAGGAGGCGGCGGGAGAACCTTGAAGATGACGATAGTAGCGATCTGAGCGATGAGAGTGATGACGATGATGCCGGCCAGCGAGCGGCCCAGCAGATCAAGTTCGCCAAGATGCCCGTTCGATCGAGGGCCGGCTCCAGTCCGATTCAGTCATCGCAAATCAAGCAATCCCCAGCTATGTCTCCTCGCGCAGCCCCCGGCGCACGTCGAGGCTCGCAATCTGCGTTGGAAGTCGTCAAGGAAAGAGCACGAAGGGATACAGTGACCAGCAGCGAGGTATCATCCGAGAACGAGTTTGACGCGTCCGGGTTCCACAAGCAGCGAGAGGCAGCTAGAGCTGCGGCCAAGTCAGTCAAGCTTCAGGCTAAGATTCTTGAAGAACCTAGTCTTGGTATCAAGCGCGCTGGCACGCAGTTGCTACCAGAGGAGGAAGAGGATGATTCCGACGGATCAGACATGTCTGGCGCCTACATCGAAAGTATCGACTCGGCCTCTATTCTGGATGCCGTTGAGAACCCGGAGCCTCCCCCGCACAAGCAAGTCGTTGGAACACCTCCCCGAGAGTTCACGAGAACCTCTACTATTCGAAAGTCGCAAGCGCCACCTCGGATCTTGCAGGCTCTACCACCACCTCGTCCCATGAGCACAATTCGGCCCATGAGCATGATTCAACCTAAGAGTCTGCTTTCTGCCGCTCTCAGGGCTCGGAAGACAAAGCCAAAGGTTCCTTTCGAGGGATTTGCGGCACTTTCGGGCCAGGGCGAGAACAATCCCATTGCAGTCCGCATCTATGCTGCCTTCTCTGAAAGCCCTACGAAACCGTTTGAAGTCCCCATCAGACGCATGGTGCATCATGGCGAGGGTGGCGATCGGCCCGTCACTGTGGCAGATCTCATTGGCCTTGCACTTTGGAGATACAACGAGGAGAAACGGCAGCCACCTATACCTGTCGATAAAGCCAACATCAACTGGTTCACGCTGAGAATGGTGGAAGAGGACGGAGAGGTCGATGATGACTTCCCGCCCTTTGAGCGCAACAAGGCCCTGACGTCTTTCACCACAGCAAACAACCGAGCTGCCGGAAGAATGCGAGCCAACTCCAAGACTTATGATAACTTTGGATTGGTCCAAGCGAGTCAATCCGAGTACGCCGAGAACCAGAGTATTACTCCGCAAGAGGAAGAAGAGCCGGCCGAGGAAGTTGATGAAGACTTGACTCCGCGCAACACTCCGCAGCCGAATCTCAACTCGTTCCTTCCCGTCGCCACAGAGCCTCGCCCGAACCCTGTCACGAATACTACCTATCGTCAACAGCATAGTATGTTCGCCGACGCACCTCAGGCGCCAGCCGCGGCGCCCAACACGAGCCGGGGTCAACAGAAGCTTTTGCGCGTACACCTCCACTCGACGGATGTGGCTCCTGGTCAGCTGGTCACGCTAGACACCACGACGGAGACGTACATGGCCGAGGTGCTGGACATGGTCTGCCGCAAGAGACAGCTGGACAAGGCCAATCATGTCCTCAAGATGCCCGGCGGCGGCCCCGTCATCCTGCTTGACACCAAGGTCGCGGCAATCGGCAGCTTGTCGGATCTGGAGCTGCATCGACGCCGTTTCGCTACAGACGGCCCACTCGCCATGACTGGATCCCCTGGAAGTGCTTCGCCAAAGCTTCTCCCCTTTGTGGGTGATCAGCCTGGCCGCAAGTCCAAGAAGCCGCATATTATGGGAAGTCACCCGCTGGCTCAAGAGGCCATCAAGCAGGCAGAGCTTACCAGCGCATATCACAAGGCTTGGGTCGTATGGCGTTTGCGTACCGTCCGGATGATAACACAATCCGAAAAGCGATTCGAAATCGATGGAGAGTACGTGCACATCAAACCCACGACGAGAGATTCCAAAACGACCACGGCGCACATTTCTCAAGTAATTGGATGCAAGGTGTCTAGCAAGCACCCGAACCAATTCAAGGTGAGTTGGCACCCATATTGCCAGGCGGTCTGCCGCACGATGATCAGAAGCTGACTAGGGACCTCAATAGCTGTTTATCTACCGGGATACCGAGAGTAAGCGCTACGACTTCGAAGCCAAATCGGTGGAAGAAGCGCATGAGATCGTCAACGAACTTAAGAAGGGAGTTGCACAGGTTATGGGCTGAGCACCTTGATATGGGCTGAGCACCTTGATCACACTTCGCATGATCTGAGGAATACGGGGCTGCATCACATCTGAGCTGTCTTGTTTCCGCCACAACACTACGCCACGTATACACCGCCACACACACCAACTGTTCAGTGACGTTGCGGAAGAAGCGGCGTCGAACATTTGGATGGGCTGAATGAAGATCCACTCCAATTGCTGACTAGAACGGGCTTCGGTTGGTCGGGATGAATCCACCCTCCGTGCTGTAGGTATGCCGGACACGGTGATTACGCGTCACCGCCATTGGGGGGTGGGTGGCCACTCTCTCACTGCTTAAAGGTATGTTAGCAGGGGAAACTTGCTGTCACTGCGGACTCTTCGCCTTCCTCGCGATTGGGGAACGAGAATTATGTAATATGTACCACGGCCGGAGGAGCCAGAGAGACAAACAGGGTTGGGCCCCCTTGCGGTAGAAAATGTGGAAAGGGATGGAGGAAATGGGGATGGTCTCTTTCTGGGTGTGGGGTACATGTCCAATTAAGGTTCGCATCCTGGCCTCTGCGTCATGCAGATCAATACGATTGGAGCCGCGGGCCGGGATACTTGGCGCCGCGGTCGCGCTCTCTGCTTTGGTCGGGCTCGGCAAGGCTAGGCACATTTCGGTTATGAAGGGAAAGTCTGGGACACCTAAGGTCTGGACACAACGCCAGGGAGAGAGGATGATGGCACGATGGATGGGCGAGATGAGGCAAATAGAGGCCAGGGAATTGGGGGGAAGGGAGAGGGGATTGTCAGTACATGAGCTGACACTATTTTCCCTCTCAGATCCCTTTGCGGCAGGATTCCTCTTCTCTGGCCCTATCCTCTGTGCCTCTTTCGTAGCTTTGAGTACCTTAGACCAAGCAATCAAAACAACGTATTTCAACAGAACTTGAAACGACGGAGAGGCGGCCGCGTCAAGGCTGACTGCCTCGTCACGCTCATCTGCATCTTCTGCCTGCCTGCTTACGGAGTACACTGTTTTGCTGGGCTGACACAACAGCCTCCGAATGCTAATTCGCGGTAGTCTCCCAGGCGAGGCGCGTACAACATATGCTTATTGTTATGCCTGGTATAATTGCTCTGCGCCACTTGGGGAAAGCGAGTGGTCGGACAAAGCTCCATTTTTTCCCTAATCCATGGGTGCAATCACCCGAAGACGGGAAGAACTTTGAGAGAATACCCGAAAGTTTTTGATGGTAAACAGATATGCCCCGTACTCTTGTTCAGTGGAACGGTTCCATTGACAGGGCGAAGCCTCATTGATTTTCTGTGCGACCAAAGTGTCACAGAATTTGTAGCGTATGCTGCCTCTTGCCCTGTCTTGCACATGCAAAGACGGTGCGACATTGGCAAGGCGGCGAGCCAGCAGGTACAGGCAGGCAGGCGTGGCAGGGAGAGTTGCATAGGTATAGATAGGCGGTGCTGAGAAGAAAAGTTCGAGACTTCAAGCTTTGAGCCATCTTCATTCTTGACGGGGTCTCACGTGTCTCAAGGGGGTGCATAAGGTAGAGTCGTACAATACCGTCCATATTGACCAGCGGTGCCACACGATTGTAACTCGGTTCAAATTACTACGAGCAAGACTTCTTCTATTTTGAGGATTTTCGAGTGATTTTCGAGTGTTCATCTTTTGGTCCCCGAAACTTACAGTAACACACAGTAAGGTAGTAGGTAGCAGATATTCACGAACTTGGAGACTCGCAGGGCTTGTGACACCTCAAAAAGAAGAACGCGAAGAGACCGAGGGTCGTCTGGTTTGCAGATTGACTTTCTAGCCTGATGGCGAGAAAAAAACCTTCTGCATTGACCTCACCTTAATCCGAACTTTCAAATGAAAAGAGGCGACGGCGCCGTCACCAAAAAAGAAGTGTGGTTTTTGAAACGAACGGTAGGTAACCCCCATCCATGGCCGTTGGCATCCTGTGACGCAATTTGATTCTCTCTCCTCTTCCTTTCCGAGCCATGGAAGTTTGGGGTTAGGAATCTGCTGATGCTGCTCTGGATTCGGAAACACGCCCCCCCCCCCCTCCCCTCTTCATGCTAGCAAGGCTGCAAACAGGTACTCATTTCCCATGCGCTTGCTTCCCAATCTCCTCATGGCTCACGGGACTTTACAAATCTGTGCGCTCTAGTTTATCGAGACTGGATGCGCGTGCATGAAGTGGCAGCCAGACAGACGCAGGAGTTCGTACCCGTCTGCAATTGCTCGTACGTCTGATCTGGAATTCAGATTTGATTTTCCCGCCCCTTACACACGGGACTGCATTGGCGCGGGCTGTCGCCAAGGGTTTGACACCGTCGAGATTCGGAAAGGGCCAAAACTTCGAACAGACGAGGGTTCTGCCATGGAACTTGGAGATTGGAAGACGGCACGGCGGGAAGCTTCGACCGTTCGAGACCACCACGCCTCTGTCACGCTTCTCAGATTCGTCCACCCAGTAAATGGTCGAGACTCATAATAGCCCCTACCTACAACCTGTACGAGTCTAGAGCCTGGAGACTAGCAAGCTAGGTAGCGAGCTCCCAATTTCCAACGGCCGGAACCCCAAACAAGGAGCTCCCCCCGCAACCCCCCGTCTTCTCCATGGTCTAACAGACCAAGCGAAGTTCATACATACATTGATAACCAAGCTTCGAAGCTGCGAACCGGCATGAACAGTCCAGAACCGGAGCAACGGGAGATGCCATCTTTTTCCTCCGTCTCATCTTGCATAATTCTTCCGGGCTCCGAAAGTGATGCTAATGATGGGTCTTCGAGTGGAACCTCCCAATGGCAGGGGGCAGCCACATTCATACGTCATAGCAATAAATCAAACAGAGGCCCACCCCCTTCCGCGGATGACGGCTCATACCATGTACATATGTACGCATACAGCGAAGTTCGGCTCGCGACACTGTCCTCTTTTCGCTCTAGCCTCCGGGGGTGGTCGTGGTGGTGTTCTGACTTCATCTCCAGACGGGACGTGGCAGGCTAGAGAAAATCTTACTCTCAGATGGCAATATTGGAATTAGAGAAGAATAATGAGGGCTGAATTAAAAAGAGAGAAAATATGAGATCAGCGCTGTTTGAGGATCTTTCGAAAAGGGCCCGTGAGAAGAAGCATGATGCCTAGCGGCTTGCATTGACCTTGCCTTGCCTGTGCCTGCCCACGTCAGTGCATCAAGCTTCCGGGTAAGCGTAAGAATCCTTGGCAGATCAGATTCCACGGGCAGAAAGAAAGTTTGCTCGTCTTTCTCTTTCCCCTACGCTGTCAAGAAACCCAACGAGGACCTCTGCTCCTGAGTTTTGAGTTTGAGCTGGCAGGCTGGCAAGAGGCTTATTGCAGACTTGGAGTGGAAGATGGGACATACCTCTCATTGACAGGTGGGCAGTGTTCTGTGTTTGGTTCAGCTCTTTCTCAGCTGCGCCAGCTGGCAGCCTCAACAGAGACCCAACGAAGAGAAAATGTCGATCCGGGGGACCCGACAGTCAGTGAAGCTCCGCCCTCTCTCTCTCTCTCGCAAAGTATGTACTCCGCATGTACACAAGCCCCATCCTCTGAGTCTCTGGAGTGTTCCATGGTGCTTCCTCCTCGTCGTCCTCCTAGGCTTCCATCGAAGCAAAAAGCCTTGTCTGCTACCGTCAGACTGTGAAACTGTGGGACAGCACCTCAGGCAATTGGCCGAGAGCATTGGACAAACAGTACGATTGTCTGGACGACCCTCTCCCATGTCACCGTCTCTTTCTTTTTTTCCCTTGCCCATTTCCCCTTCCCTTACGTCTTGTGACTTTGTGAGTTGATCCACGTTGGAGAGGTGTATCCATTAGTAACGCGGTGAGGTGCAGGTACGTATCCATATCCGATGTCGACAGGACTTTGTCATGGGCCATGGCTGGCGGTTTCTCCAGTACGGAGTATGGGCCTTATGGGGGGCCTCTAGACGCGGGAATAGCGAGCTTTGACGAATCATATCCCTCCAATCTCTTCTCCACCTCCTGTCGATCTCCTCCTCGCCGCCGTCGCAGCGCCCCAAGTCCTTGGCCCATGGTGTCATTGCATCCGCGGGAAGGTACCACGGGTACCTACCCTCATCACCCATGTCCATGTCTCTTTCTTTCCGGTTGGTGTCTGCCACTGCCAGTCTGCCCGAGTAGGTACTCCGTACCTTCTCCAAAAAGGAACACCCCGGTTTTTTGTTATTGTTGATGACATGTTGCTATTCGTTTTTGCATTTGTTTGCTTGGACAGCATAGGCCATGCTCGTTTTCCCCCGTCCACCACCGCCTCATCCGAACCCACAATACATTTTGCCAATTGACTCGCTTCTCCCGGCTGAAAACAAAACGGAAAAGCGGACGACGAGCAAGAAAAGCGGACTTGTTTCTCCGGTATTGATGTACACATGCAATTGGGTATCCAAGCATCGCATCGAGCCGAGGGCTGACGTTGTGGATATAGCGGGATAGCATTGTCATCCTCCCGTCAATGCCTCATCCTGCTGCTCCACGCCGTTGGCTGTGTACATCCCGCGTGGCTTGCGAGCATAATCACTGCTGCTATCTTTGGGAACCCCAAAGCTGAGAGGCATAGCAAAGCTATTGACGGACCTCAGGTGCCTAACAGCTGGTAGCTACCAGTTGCGCCAGGCTAATCCCTTGATGTTTTCATAGAGCCAAACCGTTAGCCACGCAGAGCGCCACCGTCGTCGTCCTCCTCCGCCTCTCTCGGCCATCGTCCTCGTAACCGTCGACCTTACGGCTGCCGCTCGAGCCTAGCCACATATCCACACGTCTCGAGCGTGGGCTAGATTCAAGTCCGTTTGGCTAAAATATCCGGCCTAATGTGGCGCTTGTTTTTCGTTGGGGGCGGACGACATCATTACCCATCCCAATTGGAAATGTCGCCTCTCTCTCGGCATCGGATTCTTCGACGGTTCCTGCGCGGTTTTCTCTGCTTTGGAACATACCTACACTCCAGCTGCGTCAAGCGTGGCCGTCCAGCGTTTTGTCCTGCAGGGTGCTCACAGTGCTAGTGCTTGATGGCCACAGTCAAATCATCGCCGTGAGAAGCTTCCCTCCAAGACCAGTGGCTGAGAAAGACAGAGGAGGTGGCACAGATTCAGCACAGCAGACAGCAGGCTACCTCGGATTTCCTGATCTTTCCCAAGATGGGATCATGATCCCCGGTATCCCCAGTCTCAGACATGCAGGCTTGCCAGAGGGGCAGGTAGGGACTAGGGAGAGCTTTCTGCTTTGCCAATGCCGACCATGCAGCCTGTCACGCCTGTCCGTATGCCCACCGGCCAGCTGTGCCAACTCCGTCAGCTCAGCCATAGCCTGGCCACGTTCTCATAGTTGTTCCAGCTGGCCACCATCGATTGGACCTAGTTGCTAGAGTCTACTGCGTAGAGTAAGAAAGAGTACCGAGAAGGCAGTTGGGAAACTGCATTGTTACCGCGGGGATGACGTGAGGAGGCGGGTCGTTGTCGTTCACCCTTTGGTCCTACAGAGCCACAACCCACAGAGACAGACACAAACCACGAATAGAGCACACCTCCTCCACGACTGGGAGTCTGGCACTCACGCATTCTGGGATGTCTGGGATATCCGAACATGGGTCTCCCCTCCCCAGCTTCGACCTTGGCCGGGGTACGTAGCATCAAGTCTCGGAGTGCCACCCGCGGTCCGCTAGACTAGCAACAGCTTAACCAAGTATTCCCCTAGCCTCCTTGGACTGACCTCCACCCCCTGGTTCCGCCTCTTGGCCCTCTCGCCCAAACGAAAGGAGGCGAAAACGGGGAAAGGAATCCCATCATCGCACCGCCCGCGCCGCGAGTACGGTGTACGGAGTACCTCCCCTTGCCTACCACAACACACCAACGCGCCAAGTATTCTTGGTGCTAGGCTTGCGTGCCCGGCGTTTGGTGGAGGATTCTTGTGGTGGTGCCTGGCCTCTCTCGGCGTGAGGGGGGTGTGAGATGAATGTGAATGACGAACGGTTCATTGGGGGTGTGAGGTAAGGAGAGGAAGAGAGGTGAGTGAGAGAACGAACTGGGCACAGGCGGCTCGGCTTGGCTCTCTCGTCCCAGTACTCCCCTCTAGATGGTCTCATCAGAAGATATATAAGACCTCTGTCTGCCAGCCCGTCCTCCAGTTGTCTCCCTTCCCTCCACTCTATCCAATCAACCCAATCTCATACAAATCCCCAGTCCTCGACTACCCAATATCTAATTCAATAACTACATCTCTAAACATCAAACCCAACAACCTTAAATCAGCCAAAATGCGTTTCTCCGCCGCCACCGTCTTCGCTCTGGTCTCCCTGGTTGCCGTAAGTTGAAACCTCATCATGTTCTCTCCTATCACATACTGACAAACCGTCTGTAGGCCCAGGATGCCTCCTCCACCACCCCCGCTGTTCCCGGCGCTTCTCAGGTCAGCTCCCTCATCGGCTCCGCCTCCAGCGCCATTGCCTCCGAGGCTTCCTCCATCCTGAGCGGTGCCTCGTCCGCCGCCGGCGCCGCCTCTTCGGCCATCGCCTCCATCACTTCCTCTGCCGGTGCTGAGGTCAGCTCCCTGAGCCAGCAACTTACCTCCGCCACCGATGCCGCCGGCTCTGCCTCCATCTCTTCCAAGATCGCTTCCGTCTCCAGCAAGGCCAACTCCGCCGCCTCCAGCGTCGCCTCTGCCCAGAGCACCTCTGCTCCCGGTGCCGCCCCCGCCCAGACTGCTGCCGTTGCTCTTGGTGCTCTCTTCGGTGGTGCTGCTCTCGTTGCCAACCTGTAAATCGGGGATCTAAAACTATGATTATGGGAATTAAGGAACGAAACGGCTTAGCGGAAACGATTGAAATTTCCGGTGCGTGGTAAAGGGTACTACACAGCATTGTTTGGGCTTTTTTGGGATTATCAGAGATATCAAGATGTAATACCAGTACGAATTGTACATCAATCAAACATCAATTGTATATTCAACCAACTCCATGATCTAAACCCGTGATATGTTCTCTCTACTACTTCTCTACATCAGTTGTGACGAAAAGTGCTACAAGCAGAATCGTCGCCAATGATAACCAGAATTATTCTGGCATTACTCTCTTATGCAAACATCCAATGGCGTTACTGTTTGGAACGTGAGTAACATCGGGGTTGTTTTGTACCCGACAATTGGCGCTTTGCTCCAACAGCACAGTGTTGCAGCAGGCCACGCTTGTCCTGCGCCAGACTTCGTATCCGAACCATGCATATCTACTAGTGCAAATACTGTAGCCAGCCGTAGCCAGCCACCTCACTCTCCAGATGGGGCGGGCCCTGGCAAGGCAAGGCAAGGCAAGGCAAACAATGGTGCATTTCAGGTCCCGCCACACTGCCTCAACCAATGTTTCACCGTGTGAAAAGCAAAGTGGAACATAGGATTGATGGGCGATCGCGATCGCACTTAACCTCTCCCGAGACGGTCAAAACAATACACCCCGTACCTGTAAAAAATTCTTTCTGCTATTGCGCCGTATGATGATCTGATGGTCGAAGGCTTTTGTCCGCATGTACTGTGTGCGCAAACTACGCCTTCGACCGGGTATCTGCCCATAACTTATCAATGATTTGGAAAATCGCCGTAATGTCCTTCATAACCTCGTCGTCCACCTGTCCGCCAAGCTTCTGCTGCATCTTGTCAGGATGCCACCGCACGCGCTCCTCGCGCAGCTTCGCAGCGAACTCCTTCTCGCCAATGTCCTCCAGCCCGAGCCCGTTAACAATAAACCGCCGGACTTCATTTTCGTTAACGTCTCTCCGTCGGCCGCTTTCTACGGGCCAGGGAATCTTGTCCACGTTATTGGCCCACTCCGTCCAGCCTCGCGTGTAATCTTCCCACAGCTGGACCCATGCTCTCTTCTTGCGCCGCTCCTCTCCGCGACGCAGGCTCCGCTCCATGTCCTCTTGGAGCTTCCTGTTCACCTTTTCCTCTTCCTTTTTGCGTTTCCGTGCTTCTTCCCTACGGGCCCTCTCTTCTAGTAAGCCCTGGTGTGTCTTCTCCCACATCTTTTGCCTGACGTGCTGGGAGTATTCTTCGTCCGTCATCCGCTCGAGCTCGCCTTCTGGGCCTGGCCTCTCGTTTGAGTAGACGTGTATTGGCTGCCCGTAGACGCCCTGCCAGTATGCCGCGCCTTCGTCGTCTGCCATTGCGTCGAACAGGGACTCGCGGAATGCGGCGTCTGGGTCGAGGGCCTGGGGTTCGTAGGGGTTCGGTGGCGTCGGGGATCGTGATCGTCTGCGATGTTGACGACTGCTGCTGTGGTGGTGGCGGCGGCTGTGGCGGTGTTCTGAGCGGTTGCCTTTATTGTCGGCGGCGTCTGGATCATGGCTGCGGTGGCGATGCGATCGGCTCGACTTTGAGTGTTTGGATTTTAATCGGATGCGGGATGATCTAGGTCGCAAGTTTTCGCCGTCGTCTGGTTCTGCTTGCGCTTGCGCTTCTGATCCGGCGTCTGTTGGACCGGGCGACGACTTGCGCTTGGTTGGCTCTGGTGTTTTCTCGTGACCCTCGCCAGGATTGACAGACGAAAGGATATGTCGCCGTCGCGGCGATGCCGGCGAACTGTTCATCGTGTTCTCTTTCGCCAGCACGCAGCGGCTACCAGAATATTAGTCGAAAAATACAGTTGACGCCAGTGTGTAGTTGAACAAAGTTCGGAGGAAAGAAAGTTATTGGAGGGGTCGTCCTGGATTGACGTCGTTGGATTTTGGCTTATCTTATCTTGCGCAGTACTGGTGGTTTCCTGTTTGCGGGTCTTGGCATCCCGCGTGCCTGGATCATTCCTGCCACTCCTGCGAGATAAGCTTAAACCCAGGCGATAGCCCGCCTTTCCCCGGACAAGGAAGACAGGTACTTTTCTTGTCGTATCTTGAGGCTCAGCAGACTGCAACGTCGTTTAGCTATCTAATCAAGCTACACTGTATGGGTATAGATAAGGTAGGTACTCTGACGACCCCTGACAGACGCTCCTGAGGAAAACACCAACATACCGTTCACGATGTCCGCTTTAAAGGTCGAACACCATCATTCACCTGAGTCTTATGTGATATTGCCTCGGCTCGATAATTTCTTCGATTTACGCGATACTAGTAAAAAAATCTTTCTAAGTGTCATATTACGATATTGTGCTTTGTGCTTTCAAGGTTTCGACCTCCAGAGCATCCTTCACGACTTTTGCAACCGAGACACAGTTTTCCTCGCCATACCTTCCTCCAATAATCTGCACACCAACCGGCATGCCGCGGATCTGCTCAAAATCATCTACTTATTCATTAGTGTATACATCCCTTTGAGAGACGAGGCCGTAAGAATGCTTACACAGCTGATAGTTCATCTCATCGCTCTCGTTCCACGGGACATGATCTGTCCACTGCTGGCTCGAGGCACCATCGTTTTCAGCTCGCATTACAGGGATCGTCAAGGCTGCATAATCAAGCCAATTCCAGTGCGAGGTGTATCCGACGTGAGGCTTTGACTTGGCCCACACTCTAGGTCTCATCCCGACCCAGGGTGCTACCGGCGTGATGAGGGCGTCAATACCTGCCTCATTCCAGCGCTTGAGGTATTCTTGCTCATACTTGAGCTTTTTGGCAGCCAGCTGTGCAATTTCATTAGTCGAGGTAGTGCCTATCATCCGTGCTTAAGTCGACTTACATGGCGAGACTCTGCAACTGAGAGGATGTCTTCTTCAGTTCCAACGAGAAGCCCTTTGACTAACGGCTCTCCGCTGGCCTCACTCAGCATCCTGTGAGACTCACCGCCATCAGCGAATGTGGCGGTTGTCCAATCCTTGTAAGCTTCAGCATGCGAGGTGGGGTCCCATTCGATCACTGCGTGCGTTGTGTTAGCACACAGGCACAACCAAGGCCAAAAGTTCCGAGAGCGAGCAATGGATCAACACCCACAAGTGTGCCCTACAGCCGTGAGGCTATCGACGACAGCCCGTACCGCCCGTTCAATAGGCGGCTGTACACGGACGACGTTGTCATTGATGTAATATCCGATCTTGAGAGGCTTGTCGGGCTTGGCCGTGAGCTCCTTGCGCCACGGGATGGGCAGCAACGTCGGATCCTTTCGCCACGGCTCACAAGACAAGATGCCATCCATAAAGGTTTCGATTGTCGAGAGGCTGAATGCTAGAGGGCCAGCCACTGGCGGTGCGATAAATTCCCATTTGCTGCCGTCCCACTCTTGTTAGTCAACGATGCTTCAAAGCAACAAAGCAACCGAACGTAGGGAGGAAGCAACTTACCTCGACTCCTCGAATGGTAGTCGTCCAACAGTCGGTTTGAGCCCGTAAAGTCCCTGCAGAGCTGCTGGGATACGTATGGAACCGCCGGTGTCTGTTCCGATCCCGACCAAACTACCGTGACAGCCTACGAGTGCCGCTTCGCCACCTGAGCTGCCACCAGATATCAGTTTGCGGTTAAGTGAGTTCAAAGATTGTTTGAAAACATGGTTATAGGAGTCCGATAGCTAAAGTTCTATATGAGACTGCGGTCTTGCAAGTGGATGTTGGTGGAGGTTCTTACCATTAGTGCCTGCGCAACATTCGTCTTGACAAAAGGCACAGCTCCTTGAGCTATGAGAACGTCTGACAAGACGCTGTTTTCTTTTGCCGGCTTCCCAATAAGATTAACCCAGCCTTGGAATTGTTAGTATCACACTGTCACCCTACAATCAGCGGCTTACCGATTGTAGAGTCAAACCCTTTGACATTGAATATGTCCTTGAGGGATACCGGGAGTCCATGCAATGGCCCAACTACGGAGCCTGTCCGCTCTAGATGTTCATCTAGAGCCTTGGCTCGTTCGAGAGCCTCTTCGAACATGAGCTCTGTGCAGCATTTCACTAGCTGCTGGGCTATGGCTGCTCGCTTCGCGAACGCTTTGAGGACTTGGACTGCGCTCAACTTTCGAGTCGCAATCTGCTCAAGTAAGACTTGGATGTCTTCAACTTCCGTACAAGCAAGCTCTTCCGCACTCAAGACTCCAGATGAACGAAGAAAGGTGTCCGTGTCTTTGGGAGGGGGAACAGTTTGGTCGATACGCCATCCAACGGGAATCTTGGCGTATTGTTCTGCGCGCTTCTGCGCGGCGCGTAGTTTCCATGGCGGTGTCGGTGTTCGTGTAGTGATCCCAGACTCTATCATTGGCAGCTCCGTGGAACAGCCGCGATCCGAGGTAAATGACTGATCTTGATTCTCACCCATTTTTCAGCTTAACTTCGGTAGGTCGTTTCCAAGTAGAGTTATTTTATGAATCAAAGAAGTCCATGTAAGATGTGTTCGATCTTGCGTCATACTAGACGACATATAAGCAGCGGCAAGGTTATCGTAAAAATGACTGATGCCCGTATTTTTGGCAAGATTTTATCTGTATGCCTTCCGCACTTTAGGGCCAGATGAATGACCTCCATCTGTGATCTGTACAAGATGAATCATCCAAAATAGGAAAGTAATCTATGTAAGATGTCCAGCTCATCAGACAGAAATGATATCAATTGCTAACTGCCTCGAGATAGAAGGCACCTTGGGGTAGATGTGGCAGACGGACCAGCCCACCTCGATTCCGCAATGTGAATGCATACAACATACTTCAATCGAATTACCAAAGGCACGATAATTTGACAACGTGGCGAGTCCGGGCACCTGGGGGCATCTGGGGCATACCTGACGGAGGCTATGACAAATCCAAGATCGTTAGTTTACCTCCGGACATCTTACTCAGTACGACCTCGCGCGGGTGGTAGAATACAGGGTAGAGATAGGTTAGTCGTTGATGTGCGTGGATAATTCTCCCGGTCAGTACCCCAAGTGCCGTATCGGATATGATCCGTACGGCACTCATCCCTGAACCCCTCCACGACCCCACTTATATCCGGCTGAAGGCATTGCCAAATGAGGAAAGGAATCTATTCAGTCAAGGGAAACTGAGGGACATGATAGAATCTCCTCCGTGATTTGACTGGTTCCGGAATGCAATTAATAATGAAAATCATCAGCATTGGAGGCGTTCGAATCTTCAGGAAAGATGATCTTAATCATGGTTTTACTGGCTTCCTCAAATAAAACCATGGGACGGGCATGATAGCAGAGGCACCATATCATTTCTCAGATAACGAGAAAAAGTATGCCCACGATGCTCGACGACCCCGAAAGTATGCCAAGCGGCCAACTTAACGAGCAGAACGCCATAGCTCAACAGACTGATTCCAATGTCCATCCTCATGACTGGCCAAAGGTAAGCAGGCTTCAATTTTTGAGTAGCACACGGACACTAACACTGTAGTCACAGTGGAAAAAGATACTTGTCATTATCACTAGCTTGCTGATGGTCATGCACAGTACCATCAGCTCCTCGCTGCCCGGCAATGCAGGTGACTCGATAAGACTGGCTTTCCCGCAGATAACAGACCTCCAGTTGGTTCTTCCGGTATCCATCTACCTCGTCGGATTCGTACTAGGCCCAGCTTTCCTTGGGCCGATGAGCGAGGTCAAAGGTCGCAGGCCAGTGTTACTTGCTACCTTCGTCCTATACATGATCTTCACACTTGCATGTGCTCTGGCGCCCAACTTCCCAGCGCTTCTGGTATTTCGGCTACTCAGTGGGACGAATGCTGCTGCCCCTGTAGCCATCATTGGAGGTGTTTATGCAGACATGTACTCGACCCCACGTGAGCGAGGCTGGTGTATTGCATTGCTAATGGCCGTAAGTGTTATCTCATTGCCGAATGCCAGTCACCATTACGAGCAATCTACACGTACTGACTTGCGTATCTCAGGTCACGAATCTCGGACCATGTCTGGGACCTATCATAACAGGTTGCGTTTCTCCCATCTCTTGGCGCTGGTCGTACTGGGTAGGTCTGATCCTTGCGGGATCAACACTCCCTCTTGTACTCTGGCTACCGGAGACCTTTGCTCCAGTGCTCCAAAGAAAGGGGCTATTGGACGCCCATCACGGCTGTCCGGAACCTCATCTTGGTGTCTCTGGATCAGAAATCAAGAAGGGTACTGGTCGGCACACCTCTCTGGCTACATTCACAAAATCATTCCGAATGTTGTTCTCAGAGAGCATTTTGATGCTCACATGCCTCTACCTGAGCTTTGTCTACAGTATCTTTTACCTGTATCTTCAAGCATACCCAGTCATCTTTCAAGGTACCGACAGCATCTATAAGCTCAGCACTCGGACTACCGGCTTGGCATTTTTACCAATTGGGGTTGGGGCTCTTATATCTGGCGTCTTCTACATGTTCTGGGATATTTACCTTGAGAGAAGTATCAGACTGGGGAAGCAATGGACAAAGAAGGAAGAAATGAGGCGCCTGCCACTTGCCTGCGCTGGTGGACCAATCTTCGTGGTAGCGGTGTTCGGGCTTGGGTGGACTTGTCGGCCGGATATTCACTGGGTCGTCCCTGCTCTCTCAGGCATTTTTTTTGGCATAGGATTTGTTCTGATATTCATTGCCATGCTGAACTACATCACGGACGCCTATGAAATATATGCAGCCTCTGCGCACGGCGTGGCTTCGACGTGTCGAAGCATCTTTGGCGCTTTGCTGCCTCTTGCTGGAAGGAAGATGTACCAGACTCTGGGTGTCGGATGGGCAAGCACTCTGCTCGGCAGCTGCGGTTTGTTTCTAGCAGCCGTGCCGTTTGTGTTCATAAAGTACGGTCCTCTTATTCGTTCGAGAAGCAAGTTTGCTAGAGAGATACAGGAGGCAAAACAGAGAGACTAAACCTGTCATCTAGAGATAGCTGGTCCTTTAATAAGAGGTTGCGGCCATACGCCACCATTTCCGTGTTGTTCACAAGTATGTCCTTTCTTTGCCAAACAATCCATATTTTTTCATCACTGGATATCGCAGGCTCGGCTTATTTAGAAAAGTGAGGATGAGCTTTAATGACTTGAAGTGATCCAAATTTAACGTCATGCCCTTGTTCCTTACTTCAGTCCTAGATTGTGCCTTGAACCAACATCCGTACAATTCTCACGAATCCAATTCAGAGTCCCCATTATCCTGACGCAAGTCCAGAAGTCACATTGAATCGTTCGATCAATGCTTCGCAATTTGCATTGCCGCATATCTCCAATACCTGGCTTCCGACAACATGCGCGACTGTTTCCCCTTCCATACCATCATCAGGAAAGACATGCCTGTTAAGAAAGAGATGATCGAAACCACGATGAATGTATTCTGCAACCCTGCGCCATCGATCCAAGGCGTGATGGCATAGCTGAATCCGAATGTGAGCGTATTTCGGCACAGAATGAGCGAGACGATTGATTCGCCAGCAATCTCCTTGAAGGAATCGACTGAATACGTGATGGAATACGTCCCTCCGGTCACAATGCCAAAGCCGCAGAATACGGATCCCAACATGAGGACACCGATAGGCAGCGAAAATGCAGCTCCAACTCCCCAAAGCAGTAGCCCAAGAGGCAAAACAATTGCAGTCAATGCCATTCCCCACAGACGGTGCTCTGGTTCGCGGAACCCATTGTTACGGCGGGCCATCCTCATGCTGAAGGAATCCGATACCGGGCCCGACACGTACCCGCCGATCAAAGCACCGAGAAGGGGAGCAAGGTAGGTGACGCCTACCATTGAGGCACGGTAGGAGTAAGGCTGTGATGAAAGTATCGACGATGCAGTGGCATTGTAAACGGAGTACCTGGTAAGCTCATCAGACTTTCTGCCGGAGCCGGGTCATGGGAATGGATCAGTTGTTCAACATACCAGGCGTTTGTGAAACCATATTGTAAGCCAGCCCATGTGATGCAGGGGAACTGGAAGAAGATGAATATTGGTCGATATGCGATTCGCAAGCATTGCTTCAGAGTGAGACCGCTGCGGGTATACAGTGCCAACTTTTGACGATAGGATTTGACCGTGTAAGACTCCCCCGAAGACTCGTCTCTGGTATTGGTGATTCCAGAAAGCGTTCCCTTTTCATTGTCCGTAGGTCCATGAATATCAACGGTGGCCTGGATAATGGATGGTGTCCTAGCTATGGTTTCATTCCGTGGTGGACCAACGTCAACTTCAGCACTCTGTCTTTCAAACATCGACTCTTCCTGGAGGAAGAAGGCCAATATGAGATTCAACGCGAAAAAGATAGCGCAAACGTGCTGAATTCATTGCCAACCGAGTGCGTCGTTGATGAATCCGGACACAAAGGGGGCGAAAAAGTTGCTTCCTTGCAGCACCATCGAGTAGATGCCGACATACGCTCCGCGCTCGTGCGCAAAATACGTGTCGGGAATGCTGATCTCGGGTAGTACCTCACAAGGCCCAACAAAGAACCCGTACAGGATGCGGCCCGCAGTCCACGCAGGAAAGGAGTCGGCCCATGCGGTCCATTCTGATATGATCAGACAGCCGAGAAGGCTGACGAGAAAGACTGGTCTGCGGCCGAAAGTGAGTGCCAGAGGCTGCCAAAAGCAATTCCCCCACCCGGCCAGCAGAAAGATCAAGCCGGTGCCGAGGTTGAGCTGGGTCAAGGTGATGTTGGTGTCTCGAGAGATGTCGGTCAAAACGGAGTATGTGGCAGTGCCACCGTAACCACACGTAAAAGTGTATAAGTAAATGAGAAGAATATGAATCGTCTTCCGACGTTTGGACCAATTCAGTGGGTCATCTGGGTGTTTAGATGGCTGTGGCACAAGAATGACTTCGTCGCTTCCAGCCCCGTGGCGATTGGTGTGGAGTAGATGAACGGTTCCCGGAGGAAGTGCTCGCATGTCATAAGTGACGCCGTTTTCCATGACTTCGGTAGTATTAAGATATCTGGGCTCTTGATTGATGAGATCTGTGTAGTTTTACCATCTCAACTATCATTCATGCGGTCTCCGGCCCTGTCTATAAAGATGCGATTCTAATGTTCCCACGGCCAAGTCCTTATCTCTGGAGTCGGCCATTCCGTCTTTTGGGCCACTATCTCGCAAATCCAATTGAAGACACTAGATTAGACAAAAGATACGGATTGTCATGATGTCTTAGCAAGGTTTGGTACATTCCTTACTTTACGGCTCCAATTTTGGGTGTTCTCTTTGCCGAGCCCTTATCTTTGAACCAGATCACGATATCATTGCTGCAACCCTCAAATTGTACTGAGGGGAGATAACAAGACTACAAAACGTAGACGGCAGATGTTCTACTACAGTCTATCAGGGAAGTTGTGAGGCTGCAAACCCTGGCCTAGGAGTGTTTGATACCCTTCCTAAAAAGGCAACCAACCTAATGTTCGATTGATAGTTTACCCAAGTATACTGCTCCACGCCTTTGGTGCGTTATTACACTTGCCAGCTGATTTGATAGCTTTCCTAAACAGGGTTAAGACAACCTGGCTACTAAGTAGCTTTAACGCGCCCGATATGTAATGCCGCTATTCATGCGATCATTAAGTAGAGCCCCACTATTAGAATGAAGCTCGACTTATGCCTGTTTGAACGACACAGGCAATTGTTTCCGTGACTCGCGTTTCCGCATTCTGTGAGATTTTGCCAAAAATCTTTTTTACACCGCTGCCTTTTCTGTCACTCGAGATTATCACCAGCTTGATCTTTGGTTGCCTTCCCTCTTGGGCAATTTTGATCCTTGATTATTACCTGGCAGTTACGAAATGTCTCAAACCCCGAAGAAAAAGGGACGTGGGAAGCCCCGCGGCATTCGCCACGATCGGGATTGCGCAACCTGCAAGGCCCGCGGCGTCAAATGCGACTTGAATCGGCCGAGCTGTGGACAGTGTATCAGTCATAACGTGCCCTGCGAAGGCTACAAGCAACGGGTTGTTTGGAGGACATCTCATTCCACCAAAGTGCCGCCTCCCAGCGTTCCAGACCAACGGCCTGGGACCGGCGGCCCCAAGTTTGTCAATAACATATCTTGCGCGGCAGCTCCGAGGCGCCCCTTGAAAGACACGCAAGCTGAAGTCGACGATTCAAATTGGACAACGCATTACTTCAAGTATCTCGATCACTTTCGTCAGAAGATGAACCGTATCCAGACCGACGGCAAGCAAGCAGGCGATACTATAACCGACGACTCCCTGTCCAGCATATGGTTCTTTGCATGGAAGCGAATGACACAAAGCATTCCTGTGGATGATGCCTCGGATGTAGAATATGCCTTGTGTCACACCGCTGCTGTAGAGGCACTCCTCCAATCCGTGGACCAAGAGGGGATCAGAGCCATCTTCGGCATCGCCACCTTTGCCTTCATCGACGTGTACAAGGAACCATTCGCAGCCTGGTCGCGGCATCTGAGAGGAGCCAGAGCGGTTCTCGACCTGCACAGTCCAACACCAGAACGCTTTGCAGAGCTATGCTCCGAGATTAATGGCCTTCAGGAGGTTGTGTCTCTCCTTTGCTGGTATGACACGACCGGATTGATGATCAGGCGAGATCGAGGATTGATCTTTGAGGACTGGCATCGAAATTTGATGGTTGATGACCTGTTTGACCTTGTGGGATGTCCAAAGGACGTTTACCAGATATTCACGATAATCGTGAAGGAGGGTTTCAAGTGCGAATCAAGGCATCCTGACTTATATGTTACTGCAACAGAACAGCTTCTCAAGACGTCACGCGGTAGTCACGACCAGGGAGACCTTTTGCAGGATGCCTGGAGATACTCCTCGGTCATGGCCATCTATGAGGCAGAGTCAAGTGTGAAAACTGCCAGTTTTGAAGCCATTATGTATGAACTGGCAGACCGTATCTGCGATATCCTACAAGCAATTCCGGCAGAGTCGGCAAAGTATCGCCATTTACCATTTGCTGCCTTCATGGTCGGCCGTCTCTCACAGTCTTCGGATCATTCTCAGGCCGCACAAAGGTACTGGGAAACATGCAATTCTCTGGAAGATCCAATATACCCCAGCGGTGACTATATGTCTAGGAACGATTGATAGGTCTACGTAGCCACTTCAAGTACTTCATCTATCTAATAGGGGTAAGTGGTATCAGCTCACTGCGTTTAAAGTCTGTCATGGCATTTGAGACAAAGGTAAATTCGATGTCTTCTAACGGAGGGATCTTGAGATTGATAATAATTCCTTGACGACATTCGAGTCTATGGAGGTCGGCATTGCAATCATATCCTGCCTGACAATGATTCCTGGTGTTATGCTAAAGACTATTTGGTGCCTGCCATCGCGTTCTCTTCCTACACGCTCAATCTCACTTTCCCCTCCCTTGCTGGTATCTTTCCAGACGCAATCGAGAGGGGCCGTGTTCTACCTCACCGCGGGATGGGCAGCGCCATATACATTGCGGTATAGACAGCAAGGCACCACCAGTCTAGGACGGAGACAACTCCCGTTCTCAAGACTGAGTAAGAGCCTGACACTTCTGGTTGCGGATGGTGAATTACCCCGCGAAAACGCCGCGAAACGGGTAAGACATGTTTGATCCGCAACGGGTTCTAGATTCCATTGCCGCTCTGGAACCCGTCGTTGACTGGATGCGTAGACCAAAACCGAAGCCGAGACCAGCTGGATGGTATTTAACTTCTTGAGTTCGCCGTTCCGAAGACTGCAATTCAACTTACGTTGACCTTGGGACTTGAGAGTCACCATGACGAGGCTTGGGGGACTTCATGACAGAAGGCAGATTAGCTGCCTAGAGGAGAAGCTTACGGTGGCGTCGGAATGTGGCTCTCTAACGGGCCAGGCAGATGGGTGCGCTTGTTGAGCAGCCACCGCATCCAAAGACCATGATGACCATGTCGGATTCAATGTTTCATGGTTGCACATGAGTCGCGGGAAACAGAGGCAGTTGAAACTCCCGACGATCGCATCGCGATAAACGCGAAGGTGCTGTCTACAGAGTCAAGGGTTTCACCGAACTCTGAATGTCACGGATCGGGAAAATAAGAAAAGCAATGTTGCATGCAACGTCCCGCAATGTGTTTCTGTCTTGGCCATCCGGGGAAACAAGGCTTGTTGTGAGTTGTGACACCTCAAGGTAGCTTGCCAGTACCTACTTGCTTATGTAAGGCGAGCAATCGGAGCTACGGTGCACTGCCTATGGTAAAAGCCGTCTGTGCTTCAGGTCGTGCATCTCATCAATTGTTTAATGTTATCCGTTAGGTACCTCTATAATGTACATGTCGTTCCTCCGTTATCGCATCCTTCCATTGCTGACAACCTTAGTAACGGCCCAATGTGAGGAGGCAGGATGCGGTAAGCGGTGCACGCAAGATACGGCAATACGCGGCACCTGATGCCGGAGTCAATTATCCGAGCGTGTTGTCTGAAAAGACTGAGATGCAAGACGCTGACACGCGCGACCCTCGTTTACAGGGAACATGTCCCCTACTCCACGACATGAGCGAGTGATGGCTCTGCGAGCACTGAGTTGTGCATGCATCGGAGGTACCGGAAAAGTATCGCGAAAAAGCCGAATGCGGGACAAGGCTGCAATGCAGGTCGTCATAGCTCCCCACCTTTCCGTGAGCTAAACTGCGGTGAGCCCTGTGGTTGGGTAAGCCGCGGGTTGGCTCTCCGAACCCGAATGTGTGAGACATGGACCAGTCATCAGTGACCGCGATGGAGAGGTGCCAGGTGCTTCTTTCCCCAGGGCCCAGCGTCCACAAAGCTGACAAACCATGCAGCGGAAGTGGGAGGGCAGCAGCGTCACTCGCACTCTGGAACCACAAGAGCAACACCGAGCTGAATCTCCACCGCAGGGCACCTCCCCCGTCCACTTCACGGTACGTCGCATGCGTTTACTCCGACTCGGTCGTCCGTCCTCAAAACTTTTCTCACGTCGCCAACGTCGCCCCCGTGACGATTTCCTGATCTCTATTCCAGTGTATACGTCTAATTGCACTGCTCGACAATTCCGATCAGTCAATTTCACCCCTATTACGAGAGGCCCCACGAACGACCGACCGATAAACCCCCTTCTGAATAGTACTTCTGTCTAGCATGCGTTAGACAGGCGGGTTGGGGGAAACCGCAGAAGAGCAATCGCCATGGACTATTCCGACTACTCGCCGCAGCGCATTTTGCACACAGGCTCGTTCACCGGATTCCATCGCCTGGGACAGCTCGGTAGCAATTATCTCTCTGCGACTGCAGAGATCAAGCAGCCGCTATGCGGTAACGAAGAGGGTTGGGGTCCGCTGAGCCCTATCCGATACGACTTTACACCATGCTTCATCGATGTCTGGATCGCCTCTGTGGCAGCATTTGGTCTTATTTTTGGATCCCTGGCCATTGTATGGCTCATCCAGCGCAGAAAGCCTTCCGATGCCCCTAAAGACTGGCATTTTTGGGTCAAGCAGGCAAGTAATCGGTTAAAATGCTCTCTTATCTCGTCTGTAGCTGACCAGCCGCCCCTTCCAGACACTCCTCGGATTGATCATTGCCGACGTGACAGTACAACTTGCTTTACAAATCGTCAGTTACCCCGATGTTTGGTTCGGCGATTTCCGATTTTGGACAACGGCTGCGACAATCCTATCTCTGGGCGTCATCTTTGCCATTCAATGGCTCGAGCATGCGCGCCTGCGTAATCCCAACGGCGTCGTCCTCTTTTACTGGCTCTTTCTCTTGATCGCATACTCAGTCAAGCTCCGATCCTTGATCTCTCAGCAGCTGTACGAGACTAGCCCGGCCTACTTCATCACTTACACCGTCGGCTTCGGCCTCTCTATAGCCGAATTCCTGGTCGAGTGGTTATGGCCAAGGAAGGTCAGCGCATACGAGGCTCTGATCGACGAGGAAGAGTGCCCCATTGAATATGCCACCGTATTCTCC